GACTTACTCTGTATGTATTTCTATTTATGTCTGCGTATAGAACGTGTAAGCTTAGTCACATCTGAACTTTAATGTCGTACAGAAAAACTTTTATGATCAAACAACTTTCACAAGTTCCACGAATTCTTAAAATAGACAGAGCGGACGATTTTTTCATATCTTAGGGATTATTAAACATTATTTAATGAAGAACGTCGTGGCCTAGTGGTTTAGTACCTCGACATACACCTAAATGGTGGAGAGTTCAAATCAGGCCGATACTAAAATCTGGTATTTTGTATTTCTCACTGCTCTCCAGTTATAGAAAGACCTATAGCAAACCAAAATTAAATCAGACAGACTGCAGTCGATTCGCCCCCTATTGCGTTTCAAATATACCGAAATATAGATATGTAACGAGTAGCATTCGCCACGCCACAATTAAGAATGCCTCTGACTACCCCATCTGGGTCGCTGTCGCGACTGTATATTTGTTTATTATATTGAATGAGATAAAGTCAACCAATAAAGATTTACTTTTGAAGAGTTGAGAGTAGTAGGCAAAGCGTAGAATTAACGTGCAAGGTATGTAATACTTTTAATTTTTACTTTGTTCTTTTTTTTCATTATATCCGTATTTACCTGCCGGAAAACATTTTTGTTATTTATATTTTAAATATTCTCGCTAACATTACTCCCAACATTCACTATTATATTAAATCCTTTGTTTGACAGAACCAATTTTCTGCATTTTATATCATATAGACATGTTTGTAAAATAGTTATGAAAAATGAATTCCTGTAGAACATTGTTAGCAGTTGCACGTCCGTTTTTAATTACTTTTCTGTCTGTTCTGACTGTTTTATTTTTTCGGCAAAAAATAGTCGCTGTTGAATTAAATAAAAGTATAAATACAGTCATTGTTAACGACGAAATATTGCATACTCGTTTTTAAATATAAAAAATGTGTATTGTAACTCTTCTACAGATTTGAATGTTGTATTTTACTGTCAATAATTCTGTTGTATATGTAATATGTATGCCTACTAGGCATTTAAGATCCATCAGAAGCGAAGAAATTTCCGGGTATTTTTTGCAGTTGCAGTTATCACAATATGCAATATGATCTCACTTTAGTTCTCACTTCAATATGATTTTTAAGGATTGGTACGTTGGGAGGCTGTGGTTGCATAAGCAGCCCAAAAGCATCCTTGACGAAGAGGCTTGTCTGTAGACTGTAGCGCCTCTTGTGTAGAAGTGTTTATTTAATACTTATACTAGATATGTTCTACAGGCAGCTCGTTTGTTACCGATGTGTTAAACATTATACACAAGTATACACACTCAAATACCTTAAGCTGGCTTAATTAAGTTACACTTAGATGTGAAACGGAAAGTAATAAAATGATAGTCGAATGTTTTCCCTAGCGAGGGTAGTTGAATAAACTCCACTAATGGGCCAACGTCGCGACAACCTGGCGCTCATTGTGCGCATGCTACATGCTACAGTTTCGTGACGTACACGAAATTAGATTTGTACTTATTAATAATGGACTTACCCTACAGCGGTAGTGATTAGTGTGTTTCTTGAAGATATTATACACTAAACATATTTCAAATAATGTTGAATTTAGTTGAGGGTGCAACCGATGGCTTGTAATAATGTGGTAGAAATTGTTCATGTATATAAGCGACGGTTGCCACTCTACATGACGTTTTACAAGTAGTAGAACGTCAGTAGTGCGTCAGTAGTATAAGTAGTTCTCATTTAATATATTGGCGAACGTGGGAGATGCTATCTTGCCCGGAAAAGGAGCTCCTCAGAGCTCATCCAACAGAATCTATTTATGTTTTCAAAGCGTCCAGGAAACTATTGAAATGTATACACAAATAGGCCCAGCCGTTTAGGAATTCGGTGACAAAGACGGATAGCAAAATTATATAATAAGATGTCAAGAATTTAAAGAATATATAAACTATTTGGTAGTGTTTTTAGCAATGCCTAATTTTTATATTTGAATAATATTTGTTCCGTTATTATTTGGGAAAGGTGGAATTGACGACGGCGGCCTAGTACCGCAGTGTTATGTAATGTTACCGCTCGATATGAACTGTATGTAGAATGGGACGGAGCGGAGCAATGGCGGCCAACTGACGTCTGGTCAGGCCAGTTTATGTCCCAAAGGACTTTGGTAAATCACTCACCGGAAAATTGTCTCACTAAGACATTCGCTGTCGTCGCGCTGTCAAATTATACTTTGTATTTCTAAAGTCTCCTTGAGGTTTTCCGTTTCTTAAGTTGTATTTTTAGGATAAACATCTTTTCTGAGATAATCTTTAGTGAGGTCTCGCTTTCAATTATCTGTTACACTAATCTTTTTTAAACTTATTCGATGGAATGTACTATGTTTTCAGATATCGGTTGAGTAGTCACTGCGGTAGATGTTTTTTTATATCTTAACCGTGTTATATATTACAAATGTACAGAAACTCTTAACTGACTAATGTAAAAGGTTTAATTACATAATAATAATAAACCAAGACAATTCGCACAGCGCCATCTAGTTACAAGGAACGCAGAGCTTGTGTTTTAGATACTAGACAACTAATATAAATACTTACTATATCTTTTGTAAATGCATACCTAAAACAAACAATCGTACTCATGAATATAAATGCCTACATAGTGCAAGGAACCGAACCCGCGAAAATAGAATCTAAAGTGGTGTATTAAACCGCGAAAACCCGCAACTATCGAATGTAAAGCGGTGTGCTAAAGCACTTGACTACCGAGGTTGTCGAGGTGTAGGTGCATATAACAATGATCATACAATGACCCGATTAGCAGTCTAGTTATCAGTGTGACTCAACCAGAAAATTATTCAACATTTTCCAAACATAACTTTTGTGGGCTCTGTTAATAATGAAGCTACATTACATAATTATATATGTATGTATATAGTTTCATCTCTGTTTATAAATTAATATTGATGATACATATGCAAGGACTAGTTTTAATCCCCGAATTCGTCCATATAATTTATATGTATTGATTGATCCCAACGTAAAGTCGTCTATGTCGTTCTCTGTGCCAAATAGTGCGCGCATGCCTAACGTAGGATGGTAAGTGCTATAAGGCACAATGATGCAAAAAATCACTAACATTTCCATTTTTAAGTACATATCTTTGTTCTTGGATTACAAGCACTAGATTCATACTTCCAGGATATTAATAAATGGAATGTAAATTTGCAAATTGCATTTACTCTTCAGTATTTATTTGCTTTATAAACAGCTTCGTTCGGGCGCTGCATTCTTGCTTATATAAGAGACGACGTTCATTTGCTGCATTGTTATATAACAGATTCGATATGACAAAGATGCATAATACCTTCTCTTTTAAAATATGAAATTTTCATTTTAAATATGACTATTATATAGTTAAACAAAGAGGTCTATAGTTAATAGATCTATTATAGAATTAAAGAAAGTGCATGATAAGAAAAATACTGCAACATGGCGGTAATATTGTCTAAAAATCGCACAATAAAATTTGTATTTCCTGTGTAATTATGCTAACAGAGGACGCTATGTTTACCTCTGGTGAAACTGCAAAAGACGTTTAAGAATTGTTATATCTAGGAAATGTAACGTTCTTATTTATTCTTTTGGCGCATAAACTTGTCTTTTTACAAATTAGAATTTTATTACTTCCCCGTTGCGGTAATCTAGTTTTAGTCTGAAAATTTATATCAAATGGTACCCGCGATATTGCGTGCGATGTTGTGATGACGTCATAATTATGGGTATTCTATACTATTTTTAGGCTTGAGGCGATAATCAATACTAAATCCCCAATGTAATGTCCTGGAAATAAAGCACCTAAGTTTAAAGAAACTGGGAAAAGTTACCTAATATATGTATGTAATATAAAATTATGTTAGCCAACTCCTAAATATAAAAAATCTAGTATGATATACTTTGTTATGTAACAACACGGTTATTACTAGTTTGGTATATTTACATATGGTTCAATATTAGTATAATAGTTTGTTTGATAAATTCCAAAATTTCTACAAACACATGCCCAAACTTTTTATGTAATCAATATTTTTTATTATAATACTCACTACATAGTTAATTATTGTTACCCTTTGACCAGATGCGTGTCTAATCTGTCTTCTACATTCTTAGACTGGAACCGATCACTATATAAAGATAACTGTGTATGTTCCTATATGTTCATAAAAATCTTAACTTATTTCCAAAAAACAGCAATATTCATAATATTAATACTAGATTTAAAGACAAACTTGCTGTCCCCAAGTATCGTTTAGAAAAAGTCAATAGGTCTTTTATGGAAATAGGTATAAAATTTTACAATAACATACCAAAGGATATATTGGAATTACCCTTAAATAAATTCAAAACATCTGTTAAATCATATTTACCGAGCAAGGCCTATTACTCACTAAACGATTACTTGAATGACGAGCGTGCATGGCAATAGTTTTCATGTTCGGGATTTTCATTTAATGTTAGACATAGACACCTATATACCTATGCATTGTAAATAAACTGAATTTAAAAAAAAAAGTAATTCAATTGAGTTTCTTGCCAGTTCTTCTCAATTGGATCTATATACCGAACTGGACGGTAGGGAAAAAAATTCTAATGTAAAAACTTGACGTTCATAAGCGGCTAAAATGTCCTACATGAATAAATGATTTTTGAATTTGAATTTGAATTTTAGGGCGGCTGGACTATCTTTTATTTCTTGTTCATTATAATCAATTATTTTTTCTTTTTGTATATTAATTCACTATATTTTCAGTAAGAAGAAGAAAATATTCTTTATTTCATTTTCTTGTTTTTTAGGTTTATTTTTGTCATATGAACCTTATGAACAGATAACTAAATGATACCCCTGGATACGAAAAGATTATTACGTTTCACATTGCTGTTACATAAACTATTAAAGTAAAATATATGCAAGATATATTTTATCATATTGTTTCAGTTACCTGTACCCATCTATGGACGAGTTGGCCAACCAAATAAACTACGTGTTGGGACATTTCGGCATTAAAACCTTCATCGGATTTGGTGTAGGTGCTGGCGCCAACATCCTGGCGAGATTTGCGCTCGTACATCCCCAAAAGGTAAGTTTTATTATAAGAGAGAAGAACTTTTAAGACCAGTGACGATAGTTTAGCCGGTATTCTGCTCTTTGGGAATTCAATGTTACCGAAAACTTTATTACAGTTATTATAATTTAATAAATAAATTATTGACCGATTTCGTGCAATTGAGATTAATCAGCAAGAATATCCTTACAAATAAATATATAATTTACGAAATACTTTAATATTAAATTTCGAACGTAAAAAACAATAAAATACAACAGAATAGAAAAGGTCTCCATTTTTTATTATTCTATTGAAATTACAAACTATTGTTGTATACTCGAAGCGTCTAACAGGAGAGGAAAATAAAATAAAAAATACTGTCAATTAAGAACTTCCTCCTTTTAAAAGTGTATTGAAAAATTATACTCGTATTTATTACACAAAGATTTTCCACGATGCTACCCTATTGTTTGTTTTTGACGGGACAGCGTCAGCGTAGCGTTGCTACAAAGCGTATTGTTTTCGTGTTTTAACGTTATTTTCTTGCTAAGAATATTATATTACATTACACATAAACTTACCATATTGTTATTATCATCGACGCAAAATTGTGTAATACATTTATAACAATAAAATTTACACTGAATTTTGAGTAAAGTATACCACAATACATTAATGAAGACCGCATATAAATCGATTCAAACTCAAACTGAAAATTATTTATTAACATTGGATCTGTTGGCCTCTTGTACATGTTTTTTACCATTATCCCTATCGTAACAAAAACTTACTTGACTTGACTTGAATTTATTAAAGAACTCTAACATGTATTTAATTGAAATGGTGAATTAAATTGTAGTACGAAATTAATTATTTTATTCAATCATTAACTACCTAACGATTTTGTGGTAACAAATTGTTTTCCAATATCACTATATATTATTATCCAATAAATGGGTATTGGTTTTTATTACATGTAATTATATTATGTATAATTATATAATTTCGTACAAACTGACAATTTATATTAGGGACCGATATATGAAACCACTAAACCGCAAGGCTTTCACTCGCAGTTATTACTACGAGACATTTAACATAGCTAAATTGTCTATATTCATTATACTACACAACAGTATACACCTCATATTCATTCGCAACCTTTACTCTGAGGGGATCGGAACGACCTTTATACCTGAAAATGTCACAATGTCTTTATGTTTCAGCTAAGTACAAGAAAGTGGATTATATTTTAAATAATTCGACGTATATTCTGTTTTTAAGTTCTATATTTAGTATTTATTCATTCATTGTCGTTATAGAAAATAGAACTCTATTTTCTCTATGTATTTTGCCTTAAAACAATAATGTAAAAAATAAATAGAATAGGGATGTTTGATCCTAATTGAGTATATTACTATTGTTGTATTACTATTTATTGCTAATTTGTATAACAAAAAACTCGGTAAAACATTTTTTAAATGCTACTTAAATAAAAACAGCATTTTACAAACAATTTGTGAAATGATAAAACGCCAAATTAATATGTTCAGCTTCATTTGTAATAGGCTTTTGTTTTTCATCTCGTTTATTAATTATGCTATCTTATGGAACGTATTAAAAAATATTTCAGCTAGCTAGGGTGTGCTATTTATTTAACTTAGGTGACCATACATATGAATACTTGTTAATTAGTGGTGGCAAGTTTACGCTGCATAGTAAACTCTCTGGCGTATAGTGTACTGTGCTAATGTAGTTTATAACTTCATCAGGGTAGTAGAAAATATCTTGTTCTCACTATGTTGTAAAATTGGCTCAGGCAAAATTAAAATGAACGCCTTTTTCGCACTTAGTCCTTATTTACGTCGTGATATTCCATAAATAAGATATGATGTCTATTAGTGCGTGAAATAATACCTATTAGTACATGTAAAGGAAATTGCCAGTATAATAGTAATTGAGTAGTTCTTCATATAGTTAATAAAATATTCCTGATATGAGTGTTAAAAAAATTGGAGACCAATTGACTAAACTTGCAAACCGATTCTGTTAACGTGTGCCTATATTTAACTATTCCTATTGTTCTATTATATATAGAATAGTTAATAGAACCATATGAATATTTTCGTTACTTCAACACAAAGAAATTCCGTATGCATGTTCTACCGAATAATATTTTCGACAAAATAAGGATACTTTTTTATATTTTTCCCACCTGGGCGATATTCCATCGTGAATGCTTAACTTAAATGTTTTATGCGTTATTTTATATATTTTTTGTACGTGGTCTCGCGGAACCGGGTCAACTGTCGTAAATATCACTATTCCTAGCGACAAACATTTAGGCTAGCAGCTTGAGTATTTTACGACATGAATTCACATGTTTTTAGTTCCTGTACTTTTTAATATTTACCCATACAACGTGGATGTGAGAAACTTGTCTTTAGAATGTTTATAATTTATTTCTTTTATATTTGTAAAACGAGCAAAAACTATGTATTTTTTACGAAATTTACGCGAATGTCTGAAAGGTACGGATAGCTTATATAGAAAAGATATCTTTTTTATAAAGATACTTAAAAATCATTAAAAGAAATACACAATCATGCGACTGTCACAATTAATGTGAATGTGAAAATATCGTACTTTTAAGTACTTTTAAGCCACTAAGCGACCGCTTTTACATATCGGAAACAACCCATGTTCTAAATCTATCGTTTAAATGACGTTTGATCGAACCTATAGTAAATCAAGACGATAGATAGACGACAGTAGTCAATCTAATATGAATAATAAAAATTAAAACTGAATTATGTGTATACAAGTAATCTATTTTATAAATGACTTCCTAGCCGTAAAATCAGGTTCTTGTCAGAGCGGAACGTACGGTTAATGGCGTCTCCAATTGCAAATTCTATAGCGGACGTTTAATTTTAATGGAACACAGACAGGTAATAACCGGCACTCTATTTGAATATTTTGAGGGCGTTGTGGCATAGTGATTTACTACTTTGATGTTAAAAACTTTACATCTCAACTTGTATGTCCGAATGACTCTAAAACTTTAAATATCAAATCAAATTAATCCGATTTCCGTTTTCACCATCAAAAGATTCGACTGATTTCCGGCAATTTGTGAAAATTGTTGTGTTTATTCCACATCTACTACAGTGGTCAATGTCAAACCAAATCTAGGATAACAATGTTGAAAGTATACAGCTACTTGAATATTTTGCGTCGATGGCCACACCTCTTCATTGTATACCTAAATCTACTATTAGCTGATTAGCCAAATATTGTAATGCAGAAGTGGTATTAATCACGCAAGTGGCTACCAGGTAATATTAGTATATTATACGCTTATATTAGTATACCTGTAGGTAATCCATATCCCAGTATATTCCTGTTAAGTGCTAAGTTTATAAATAGATACGACCTAATTAATGGTTACTTCTAATTTGTGGCCTGCGACGGAAAGGTAAATAGTCCATATAAAAGAGTCCTTTCATTTTTATTACAGTAAAAATAGTTCATGTTTTACACAATACTTTGTTTAAAGCCATATTTGTAAAGTGTAGGTTTAAATGACAAATTAAATTTGTATGGCATATCGATTACTTAGATTGTCTATTCTCTGCGCAGTCAATAGTAACTATTTCGTCAATTTAACATTTAATGATTTCTGAGTTAAGTATAATCAAATATACTACTAACATTTTAAAAAGAGAGAGCTGGTTTTGTTGTAATTTTTTTATCTCCGAATTTTTACACTGTTTATAACGTACCTTATTCAAAAGTATAACATACATCAGTACGATGTACATGGGATAGTCAGAGTGACTATTAAATGTGGACGTTGTAGTGTATGCTATATTTCACAAGCTCACATTTTGTCGGATATACATCAATTAAATTCAGAACTAAAAACCTACCTCTGTCTCTCGGATTAATTTCCTTCATTGATTCCAACTTAAGATTCATATGCGGATAGTAACATTAGCCCATGCAGCAGAGATATTTTTTATGTAATCTATACAACCATTGGTTATATATTGGGCTTCTAGTCGTGTAGCCTTACAAAATTATAACTATAAATTATGTCTCTTAATTAATTAATTTCTAATCCATACTTATTATAAAATCGTATTACAGGTCGACGCTCTAGCCCTGATAAACTGCTCGTCGAACCAAGCCGGCTGGATTGAATGGGGGTACCAGAAGATGAACAGCCGCTCGCTGCGCTCACGCGGCATGACTCAGACGGTGCTGGATTATCTCATGTGGCATCACTTTGGACGGGTATGATACCATTTTTATTATAATCCATAAAGTGTGATTTTCTCAAAATTTTAACTGGTCTTCTGAAGTGTATATTTATACCCAAAATTCGGATAATTTACGAATTTAATAACTTATTTGGGAAATTTCACTTGTTAATATTAACGTGCTATATGTAATTTGATTGTGATGTGGATTATTTTTCTTTTAATTGCTTGTTTCCTGGATACTGCGCCTTATAATAGAGTTAATGTAACTTAAATAATCTTTTGTTTGTAAACCAAATAAAGTGAAACAAACACAACATTTTAAATAACACTTACCGCAATACATTAGGAAAAATCGCACCCAAATCCATAAGCAGATTGTGAGATTAATACGTACAGACAAAAGAAATTCTGAGAATCATTGCTTTGGGTTGATGAAGTCATCTAATAATAGTTTCTGTCTGCATATCTTCCTTATGACAAAAAGTATTATTGAGGTTGTTTAACAAGATAATAGGTCCCCGCTGTTATATTTTTATTATATGTTTATAATCTACATATATTTATAGAATATTCTCCGATATTATATCAAAGTTGTGTTTGCTAACGGATTGAATAATTACGCAGAGGTCCTATCCATGGCCTATATCCAGCCAATTACTTGTTGGAAATTGTGACTAAAGTAATTAAGTTCGGGAGGCTCTCGTCGCGTTTGAGGAACCTAATCGAATTTTCGTGTCAACGCGTAATATCACATAATACCATCAAATTTACATTAAGCCATTTTACAATTTATATCGCCCTTAAAATGTTTTAATTTTTTATTATAATTTGTCTATTATTATTAATAATAAAAAATATACTACGTTTATAAAAAAAATGTATAAATATACACTTACAGTGAAAAATTAAATTCGAAACCATAAATGGAACCAGAGAAGCGACTATACAGAAATAACGTAACGTGTAAAATAAATATTTTTTATGCCTTTATTTTATACAGAAATAACTTATGTGTAGTATTATCGTAAGATTATTAAATAAAAATAAAATGTTATAAAGAATTACTGCTGGTGTTTTAAAATAAATGTTGGTATTCTTTCAAATTAATAATAAAACAGTTTATGGAAATGTTTGTTGACCGTGAGATGACACTTTGTGAATGATGTTTCACTATTTACATTGTTGGTCTCGTATTTCATCCTCGACTATAATATATTAATTTAAAATATATTTTTATATGAATATCTACTTTTGTTAGTCTGTGTCCTTAATATACATATAATTATTCTGTATGTGTGGTTGTGAACTAACTCTTTTTTACCTATTTGGATGAAATTTTTGTTTATATTGGGTTCCTGAATTTTCTGAAAATATAATTAGCCGGTAGGTGGCACTTTTTTTCCGCACAGGACCACGTCTGTCCGGTTCATTAATAATAATAATAATAATATATTTATTTGTCAGAATATGGTATGTACAATGGTGGTAAGTATATATAATATATGTTTCATCATATTCTGCTGTTTCCAGCGTACAAATATTAAATCAATCAAGTCATTATAAATTCTAAATATTACTCATTCACCATAACTTCTTACTTTAAAAACATTATGGAATATAATAGAATGTCAATATTTCATTAATTGTCAACATTTTATTTTAATTCTAAATAATTCAATTGATTGATACTATTTCGAAATACATCACAATCACATTACTAGCCGTTATTTGTCATTAAGAAATTCATCAATTGAATAATAACATTTTTCCAGTATCCATGAATATACGCGTTTTTACTCTTATACTTCTATTTTGGAATAAATTTAATTTATTCAATAGATTCCTGTAATATTTATGACTATTCTGATACTCGCTACGATTAGTTAATATTTATATATAATTTATAATTATATTTTTACTCTATGTGCATTGTGTTTATCCACACTACTGCACCTACAACTAATCTAATCTATATGCATGATTGCATTACTGGCCATGCGAATGCAAATGTTCTATGTAATATTCTCAACGAGATTGTGTTACGAATAGCTTAATGTTGTTTCCATATAAATAAGCTTCGATGCATTTCACCGCGCAATCTGTACTATATCGCTTCATTGACTTTACATTACTCTTATTGACTGTTTTTGTGTAGCCATGTGTGTATTGATAATTTAAGCTTTTAGACTGTAATTAAATGTCTATGTATTACATAGTCCTGTGTTGCTTTGCGTTTTTTCTTGAAAGCAATTTCAACCCTTATAGTTGTACCTTGTATGCAAACTAACTTGGCCGTGTCTAATTTATTTTATGCACTTGCTAATGTCATATTTTTTATATGTGGGAGGTTACATAATTTTTATTAGAAACTAGTTGTTGCTTGCGACTCTGGAGTGCTTTTTTGAGATGTAATATTACCTATATTTATCGTCGGGATACATTTATTTTCTGTCAAATTTCATTGAGTTCCGTTCAGTAGCGAAAATCTAACATAACACTTTCACTTATATATTAGTATGGATTTACATTTATAATATTCGTATACTTATTGTTTATTTATTTACTCAAGGAAGTAAACATTAGTTTTTTAACGTACTTTAAACTGTAAATTTTAGTAATTATTTATCTCTACAGTTTTATCAGTAACACATGATTAAATAAATAATGTAATAGTATAATATTTATTATAACATTAATGATTATGCTATTCCAACTGAAGCATGTATTTCATTATTATTTTTAGAATAGCAAAATTCTATATATATATTTATTGGCTAAAACAGCACTTATTAGTAATATTTGCCAATGCATTAGCAATGCTATTTGTTTGTAATCTTTTCTTCTTATTCTGAGTCTTTAATTATAACATCACATCAAGGGACTGCTGTGATTTTAACATTGCTATTTCATACAGTAACACAATCTGCGTATACTATTTGTTTATTATTTTCTCAATTATTTGTATATTATTTTCTCTATATCAGTAAATTTCTTTATTGATTATTAATTTCTGACAGAGTTTGTTGTCTATTATTAAATTTGCGTTTGTAATGGATGAATATTGAATGGTTCACCAGCCCACTCTAACGGCTGCCTAGGGTATCAGTGGACGATGATAGCATGAGTAGGCACGTCAGGTATGGTGGCAATTCACCAAGATTAACATCGATGATGAGCAGTACAATTGCTTGAACTGGATCACTAGTCTCCATTAGTCCGCCGCCTATATCAGCCATGTCTGAACAGTATTTGTCTCTTTCTAGTCCTCGGAGGAGCGCAACCACGACCTGAGCCAGATGTACCGCATGTACTTCAGCCGCAATGTGAACCCGACCAATCTGTCGCTGTTTATTGATGCCTACGTGCGTCGTTCGGACCTCGGGATCAATCGTGAAGCGGACACCATCAAGGTAATTGTCATTGAACATTAAGTACATATATTACATACAATATATATATATATATTTATATTCTTTTAAGGGAAGTTTTTTATTTAAGGTACATACGGGCCATCCAAAAACTAGGGAGAGGGTAGTATCAGAAATGTGTACAGGGGTAGAGTTAAAATAGACATTAAATTCATGTGACGTAATCTATTGAGCCCGCCAATATAACTTTTTGGTTTGAATACAAAAATGTTATACGGATCAGAAGATATAAGATCCGTGTCAGGCGGGCCAGTCAGCCCTCGGGTGCAGAAACTTTTAAAGATAGTGTTTGACGGCCTCGATGATCTAGCGGTTTAGCACATCGCTTTACTTCCGGTCACGGGTTCGATTCCTCGCACGATGCAAACATTTGTATTCGTGTGTATGATTGTTTGTATGTATCTACGAAAAAATATATATAAATGTATATGTATCACACTAAAACCCATAAGACAAGCTTTGGCTAGCTTAACTTGGGTCAAGACGGCGCTGTGAAAATTGTACTGAGATTACTATTATTATTGTTGTAACATTTTGCCATCAATACTTTTTCCAGGTTCCCATCCTGAACATCACTGGCGCTCTGTCGCCTCATGTGGATGACACGGTTACTTTCAATGGCCGTCTCAACCCATCTAAGGCGACTTGGATGAAGGTAATGTGTCATTGACCTGACATTTTTTTTTCAACACACTTGCTCGTAAAGTGGATCTTATCTCACCGGTTTTCGATACATAAAGCAATTAATAAAACACGCGTTCATTATAAACCCAAAGAATGAAGTTATATTCCATAACATCAATATTTGCAATTTCTTTTATCAAATTTCGAACGTACTGATTTTAAAACGGCGGTATACCAACAGTTTGTAAAACAGATTTATAGTTGAGTGTATATAAAATAAAGTGTGCTGAAAAACGTCGTACAATATACGTGCATATTTAACACACTGGGCTCTATGATGTCGTCGCCTTCAACTCGAAATCGACCTCGTTATATTTTTGACTAATTCGATGACAGAAACGCCTATAACAAATCAAATTCGTCTGCAAGAATGGACTATATTTTCACTTAACTGCATTCAAGTATATACCCAGCAAATTGTTACGTTCAACACAACACCGATAGTCCTCACTACCCTTCTCACCTCTACGGCCTTCGACGGTCTAGCTTAATCGCTAGACCGTCGAAGGCCGTAGAGGTGAGAAGCACATCGGTTGACTTCCGATGGTCGCGACATCGATTCCTCCCACGGTAGGGGAGCGGGGGGCACATTGTTACAATTTTTAGATAAATGTTAATATGACAAAAGCTATGAAACAAATTATACATTGGATTACTTACAAAGTTAGTATGTCTATTTAGCTATTAAAATATGACAGAAAATTGATTAAAATGTATGTAATTTTTTCACGATGGGAAATTTAACTAAACAAGTCGATTGTAACATCTTACCCCCCAATTGGGGCTAGTTGTTACATCATCGGGGCACGATGTTACGGTAGATAAATAAACACAATCATTAATTATACATATTTTTTTATTATTATTTTAAAACATTATAAACAATAGACATCATTTTAAACAGTCTTGTAACATTTAAAACCAGGAAACCAGTCCTGCCCAGCCATATTATTTTTATATCAACTGGGGGGAATATTTTTTAAATCGAGTTTTATAGAAATAGTAATAGAAATAGAAATAATCTTTATTCAAATAAACTCATTACAAGCACTTTTGAATAGTCATATTTTGATTCTACCACTCATTCGGAATGCAGATTCATCACAAGAAGAATGAGCAACAAACTTGTGTGTTGCTCTTTTTAATAGATGTTTTTTTATATAAATAATTACAGTATAACACGCACTCATTATTAGTGTAATTAGATAATATTGTCAGTGCTATGGATTTGAAGTTTTTCTATAAAAACATTATTATCGTTAACGAATTCTTCAATTTTATAGTAAGCTTAAGCGTAGTTGTTACATGTAACAACTTACCCCAAACAATTGTAACTACTTGCCCCATGATACGTTTTTTAATATAAATTGAAGTCATCATTAATGTATATCAATATCAGAATAAAATAATATTGCAAATTCAAGGTAGATATGTAATGAACGTTCAAGGTTAAAAATTTTGAGGAAATAAAAGATATAGACATCAGGAATCAAAAATTTCGTAAAAGATTTTTTTACTTACTTGGTTGAAATCGAGACACATGCACACAACCTAGCTCCTTGGCGCTTGGCGGGTCATTGATAGTTTTTATCTAGTGCACGACGTTATAACAACACAAATGAGTCAAATTATATCCATCAAAGAGTTTAAAATCCCGGTAAAAACGCGTGTAACTTCCTACCCCTGTAACAACATGCCCCCCGCTCCCCTACTAACATTTGTATTAATAAGTATGATTGTTTGTGTCATCTGGATGTCTTCTATGTATATTATTAATGTATTTACAGAAGTATATGTATATCTTAAGTATTTATGTCAATTGTCTAGTAACATGCTATGCTTATTATGGGACTAGATGGCTTTGTGTGCCCAGATTGATGTATTAATTATTATTGTGACCGCACTATTTAGTACAACCGCCGTGAAGGTATATTATATTTACGTAAATGTATAGGTACAGTATTACGAAAGATATACTGATCTTTGATACACCTTGAACTGTTAAAAGAACACAAGGATTAAGCATAATATATAAAGTGTTTCATATTTTTCACTCTTAATAATATTGTTGTTTTAAAAAAGTACCACGTAACATTCCAGATTTCTGATTGCGGTATGGTGCTGGAAGAGCAACCCGGCAAAATATCTGAGGCGTTCCGTCTGTTCCTCCAGGGGGAGGGTTACGGTAAGTAGAAGGCGGTGGCGGACCCGTTGTAGCTGATAACTCGTTCGAAGCCAGAGATATATTAATATACTGGCCATTTACTATGTATTAATGTATTACGTCCTCATATAAGTGTCCATTTTCTAATATTGTCTACTCACCAAAAGAGCTTATCTTCATAATCGTTTTAAGTAAAATATATATATATTTTTATGACAATGGGGCGCAATTGAGCAACATCGAATACAGAAATCATATTACGAATGGTACATAACTTATTGTATTGTTGTGTTCTAAGGTCACAGAAATGGTTTCTCGGAGCTGCCCCGCACTTGTACGCCTTACCTAAAGATAATACAGCTTATTTATGGTTTATGGTCTGGAAGACCGGTTTTGTGATAGCCCGAAGCATAGACGGGTCGTGTAGATTTAAACATGGTCCAACTAGGCCAGTGCCGAGATGTATGGAGTCGTAAAGAGATAGTCTTTTCTCTACAAACATAAGAGATTAGGCCAAAAAATTGTTAGGCGTTTGTATTATGATATGAATTATAAACAATATATAATAGTTTGACCTTAAATAGCTCAAACAAATCCTTGATCTTATATTTTGGTGTTTGTATTTTAATTTTACAGATATGTTTCCATAATTGCGCCATCGATTCGCCACGTTTTTTCTTAATGTAAATTCATCATTAATAACGTGCGGGTAAATTTTTAGTGTTGAAAACTTATATAACAATAATAATATATTGTTATTATTATGCAAATATAATGTTGGAAAAACAGTGTTAATTTGAGATTCAAATTCTGACTTATAAACATAATAGAATCATAATTTTACAAATACTAAGATGTAACTTTCATATTAATGGTGCTACTTCTACGGTGGGTAGCACTAAGGATTGTATAAATATGAAAAATAATCTGAAATATAACTCGTTAATAATAATTTATTTTATTTATTTATTTAAGTTTAATGCACACAATATGATATATAGTATAGTACATTTGTATAAATAATCTTGAAGTTATGCTATGAAAACGCGCTTGTATAATCTATTTTCAGAATGGAACAGTGTATGAAATTAAATAAATCAGATACATATGAACTGACAATCTAAGAGCCTGAATTTAGATATTTGAAAATTACATTGTAATTTTAGTAAATCGTTCTTTACTTTTAATTTCCAAATATTCTACAGGAATAAAAGGCATCCAATGTGCATTAAATTAATATTAAAATTTAACACCACGCATTTCAAGAAGAAAGATACGAAATTAACCAAAATTAAGAAATTTTATTTTCGTATTGTTTAATTATAACTCTATTTGCATAGACATTATGTCTCGTCTATGTATTATCTGTGTGTTTACTTATTATATATTGCAGAGTAAATAAACTGTATGTTCAACCTGAATGCTTATATACAATTTTTTTTATAGTTTTGAACCTATGATACGATTCTATATTATTCATCTGCGTAATCAATGACATAAATATCCTAATTAAATAAAACATATAATTGTAAAAATAATGTGCACTGAAGAGGTAAAATAGAGAACGTCATATAATTTCGTGCACTGACAAAATTTGTTTTTTTAAACTAAGCAGAGCATTAGCTGACAATGCTTTTACTGTTATTACACTGAGATGCGTTCTAGTTTAGTTCAAATAATAAATTATGGTGCAAGCTTAAAAGCTTGGCAGACTGTCACGCCTCGCCGAGTAGTCGCGATACGAACACTTGCATCACATCATCTTTTTATATCATTCCTTATTTTTTATTTGCCTACGACATTCGAAAATATATATACAGTAAATAAATAGTGTATATACTATATAATGAGAAATTTAAAAGTCTGAACGCAAGTGTGAACCTAGTATAGGAGGCCAACAGATAAAAAGTATCATGACGGATACTAAAAGGTAAATCTTACTATATTGATTTTTGATTGTTTTAAAGATAGTTTTATCTAAGTAAAAACATTATGTATTATTTTATATTGATATATATATATCGTTATTTATTAAAAATAAAAACATTAAAAGAAATCAATATACAATAGAAGCTAAATTTATTCAGTTATACGCCCAAGATAAAGCAATAATAATAATAACCCAGGCCAATTCACACAGTGCATACTCTTGTCTCAAGTTAAACTGAGCTAAGGGTACTAGAAAGGGAAAGGGAATTTATGCAAGCTATCTGTATTAATACAAATGAGACAAGCTGATATAACATGTAATCTGGAATATAAAACTTAACTACAGGGGTTTTAAAAGAAATATAAAGATCAAAAATATGTAATATATGTAAAGGAAGTAAATCGTAGCCCTTGCGGTCAGACTATACGTACGCAAAATATAACAGACAACCTAAATGACTTTATCGGTTATTTATAACAAATATATTTATTTTATATTATGAAATTTATATTGGCACTATAATATTATATTATTTCTTTTAAAGGAAATTATTTAAATAATACTTGTGTCACAAGTGTGCACTGCGTTCTAAAATGAATGAAAACAAAATTTAACTTAAAAAAAATTAAAGACTTTTTCTCACTTTAAACTTCATTTTTTATTTACATTCAACATTATTAAAAATAAGAGGATGCATCGCTACATATTGCAAATTTGTTATTACTACTTTGTAATATTTGTCTTATTCTCAATTGTAATTTTATTAATTAAATACAAATTTTCACTATGTAGCCAGCATGAGGCAGTTAATAAATAAACTATGGTGCAATAAAGTTATGTCTGAACCCCTTTTTTGTTTCCCTCGTTATGTTTGAGCCTGGATATGCGATTACGTTGTGCGGCAACCCATAATGACATGGTATGTATTTGAGAACGCTTACAATCTTTACGCTTGACCATATATCGGCTTGTTAATTGTATTTGTTAGTTTGTATAATATAATCTGCTCCGGCCGATGTAGTGAGCCAATTTTAGTGGCTGTGGTCGTTCTTTTTGGTCGTAGTTATAACTTTTCCTGTTACTTATCTATGTTTTGTATAGCGCCCCTATTATTCCTATATTATGTTGCGTATATATTAATTTAACATACAAATGCGTATTCTATCAAATAAATACAATTTTAGAATCCTCATACAGTAACACATGTACCCTTTATTAATAAGAACGCTCTAAATCTTTTCTTTTTTAATTGAATTTACATTATTCTTTTCTGTCGAACTATTTTAGTAATTTGAAAGAAATTTACGGCTATTCAGGCTTCTTTACCGGTGGCTGTAGAGATTTAGGACTTTACCCTCGGGTGCAGAAGCCCCCGGTTCACTGGTATATAACACTTACAAGCGGAATTCAATGTGGTATACTTTTTTTAACCTGAAATTAATTTTTTAAATTGGTTTTTTAAGAGACAGACAGGTTTTATTTTATATGACTAAGTCTGTCCTTGATTCTGTAAATAAAACAAACATTTCATTAATTTTAAGTGTAAGTACTAAGTATTGCTAGATTGTAGAAACTGTATTGTAACAAATCTTACATTTAATTTGAAGGCACTAGAATTCTCATTTATCATTTCATTATAATTATGTTCTATTAAGTTTCGTTATGTTCCAAGCATACTCCATTTTTTTCATGACTACGTATACAATGACAATTATCTCATTTTAACTCATTATACCTACATACAACTACTTTAGTACTATTTACACGAAATACTAGTGTATTTTTATTAGCACAAAGTTTGATATTCACTGTAAATAAGTAATCTTTCTTATATGTCTATATTACTTGAAATTATTTCTGACTATTTATAATTTAATCTTTTTAATGCAAATTTTATTTAAGTAGTAGATATACACTACACATGTTTCTAAATTGTCACTTTTACTACACTTTTGTACAAAACTACATAGGCTCAATGGAGAAAATAAAGTTTACTTGAATTGGATATTAATAATTGACAATAAAGTGGTTTATTAATTTAATAAATGTTAACAAGGAATTAATAGATTCTTATTTTTTTTATTTTCTCAATTGACAGCCTTGATTTATTTAAGTGTATTGATTTAGTTAATATGTACAGTCAATGTCATAAAGATATCGGTCAATAGTAAGTGGGAAATTCTATTAGGCAGGCAGTGAAATCTTAGTCTTCCAGAATGAATGAATCTAATTTGCTGGTTATATTAATAACATAAACTATTTTTTCTCTTATCAATAATATACACATGCTAATTATTTTGTGGTATCACTCTTCTAGACATATAAGAATCGTAAATCATATAATTCAATATTCATTCCAAGAGCATCTAATGTCACATTAATTTAATCTGTAGTTATTGTAACAACTTACATGACTTTTTAATTTATTTTTAACCAACCTTGACGATAGTATCTATATGAAGCTGACTGTACATCTTAAATTTATCCCACTTTTAACGTTTGGTTCGTTTATTTTTGTTTCGGTCCTTCCCCGGTAGCTGCCTTGTCACTACAAAAAATTCGCACGAGCTGCAGTAGTTCAGTAACGCCAACCTGCTCGGCAATCTTCTAGTAATCTTCCAGTGTCATGTTACGACGCTTGAGTAGAAAGAGTAAGTCTTCATTTTGTATACATCTGTCTCGTTTATACGAACACTAATACGACTTAACCAGGCATATATTATACTTTACTTACCCATAAGGCTGTTGTGACGCTGTCGTATATAAATACAGGGTCAAGTTTATCGCTCAAAAATTCTATATTTAATCAAGCTTAAAAAATATATATTTCACGGCTATTTTGTTACAGTTGTGGTTTAGCACTTCTTTACTTCCGAAGGGTTCGATTCCTCGGACGGTGCAAACATTTGTATTCATAAGTATAATTGTTTGTATCGGTCTGGATGTTTTCTATGTATATTATGTAAGTATTTACAAAAAAATATCTAAGTATTTATGTCACATGTCTAGTAACACAAGCTTGGGACTAGATGGCACTGTGTGAATTGTCCTGAGTCATTATTGGTTATTATGAAATTATCAACCAGACAATCAGTTTGTATAGTGTGTACAACAATATATGGTATTTTTTTGTTAATATTACATTTGTGTCACTTGTTATTTCGATAGGTTTATGTAAATATGGCCCTGTATTATGTAACAGTGTAATAAGCCTCTATTTTAAGTAACCTTTTTCTAGCAGTCAGAGTTATAAAGATGCCTGTTATTTTTAAGTTACATTTTATTAGTGTTCGAATAAATATATAATGTTGATATGTTGCTTTGTTGGGCTGTACACGCACGTTATAATCCATTTTCCATCTACTGTAAGTATTCTTCGTATTAGATTACATAGCTATTTCTATATTTGTGTATGTGAAGATGTACTTTTTTAGTACAACCATTAAATTAAATATATATACTAGGTATTTATTTTTCTCGAGTACTAGAGTGAAAATTATTAAAATAATATTATATAAACATTTTTATTTTATTCATGTATTTAATTATGCAAAAAGAATATAATAATATCGTAAATAGTAATATTTTTTTTCTTTTATATGATTATTATTATAACAATTCAATTATTTTTTTACCAATAAATCCGACTGTGATATACCTACAGAAACCACTTTATAAATCCATCACAAATCACAATAGAATAATTTAATTACAATAATAATATTAATGTTGTCTCGTTTGTTCTGTGTCTTATAATAGTTTGTAATCTGATCATTTTCTCCTTACAGATTTTATATATAGAATTATTCTTAAATCTTATTTATTGTATGCGTGGAATTAGATATGTGATCCACTTTAATATATCGAGCTGTAGTCTAGTATTAGTGTCACCATTGTACACTTTTCAGTTGACTTCCAACTGATAAACTGGATATCGGCATGTTACATGCAGACAAATATTTTGTTATTTCAAATAGTTGGAAATTAGGTATTTTTAAATAACAAAATACAACAAACAAGTGTATTGAAGTAAGTCACAACGCTCTAGTAAATAGTGCTGTGAATATTAAGCGCGATTCAACATTCGAAGTTACACTTCTTTTAATTTTAGGTACATGTAGATTAAACCTAAACTCTGTTGTTTTATCGTTAAACTAGAGACCCGACCTGACTTAGCACGGGTGCAATTTTAGATATATTTTAAAGTTTTTTTAATAAAATACAGTAGGTTAAGGATTGTATCAATTTATTCATTACAAAGAAATCAAATCTCCCCTCTAACAATTCAGGTTTATATTGACTTATACCACCATATCATTACAATGTTTATTTAAAATGATACAGTCGCTATGTAGTGTGGTACCAGATTTACCTGACATCCCCTAACAAAAACAGTTATTTATTTCGAATAACAGTAGGTTATACATACATTACATACGTCAGGCGTAAAGTCCGCACAATGGTAAGTTACAAAAAGAAATGGGTAATAAAATACCCAAATATGACAAATTTAGACGTTATTCTATTTATGAATATTAAAGCATCTTGTACTTTAGTGAAGATTTTTTTACTAACTAATCTAACATCTAACAACAAATTCCCGTATTAACCCGTATCCCGTATTAAGCAAGTATTAAACCGTGATCACTCGCGATCTGTGGTGGCCATACTGTAAACTCAAATACAATATCAAAGACATGTTTGATATAAGTGTAACACGTAGGCACATTACTAAATTGTATTTAGATATAATACAGAAATAATTATTCAAGTAAATAAAAACGAAACTTAAAAGTTGTTTAATGTTACGAAAATCTCTCGTTGCTGATAGCACTCCGTGCGAGTGATCGCTGGTTATTGATTGATGCTACAATGTGTGAGACCATCGTTTTTCTTTATCTTAACCGAGTGAATTTTTATATATTATATTTTATATTAAGAATTTTTGAAGCAATACTCCTTTGCTTCGAAAATTTGTAGAAATGGTTGGTTTTTATAAATTTATATATTATTTTATTGTAACATATATTTTGCTAACGGCTTTCAGTGGCACCTCTGTCGCCGACGAAGATCGTTGCATTCCGTCGGCTGTCGGATGCTGAGCGCCGCCGTCCGTGCCGCCAGTCGCCCGTCATCCGCATCACAGAGAATCCCATCTCAGAGGCGGTTGTCTGTTAAACAACTATAATTGTATTTACCCGGGCTCGCGCAAGGTATGAAATAGGGATCAGGTGCGGAACCATCTTACTGGCAAAAGCTGTCGTTTCATGTGATTAGATTCAATATTCTTTCCACATTATATATATTTTTTATTAATTATCTTGTTATAAAATTGTGTTAATTTATGTATCAAGTTTTTACTAATTATTGTTATTGTTTTTTAGTTTTTATTTTTTTATAATTTAGTATTAATTGTTATTAATCAATTAATATTCATTAATCAATGAATATTATCAATTTACATTTTAACATACCTGTAGAATAATATTGGAATATCTTATCAAATTAGAAATTGTTTATTGTATCATCATATTTATGTAAAAATTATTTTTATGGAATTATTGACATATTTTAAATAACAATAAAATGCTCTGAAACATCAGAAAGTGACTGTTATATAAAAATATGGTGAATCTTGGTAAACAATCGATGCTTGACAAATGGTCTCGTTTATTCTTATTATTAATAATATTCATTTTATAAAAATAATTTATGTACAACATAAATTATTTGTGTTATTTTTAAATCAAAATTTTGATAATATTATATACATTGCGTAATGCATGCCGTAATGTCAATTTTATGGCGATGCTCAGAAAGTTCTTTTTAATCTTTACGGAGGAACAAATGTAGCCATAATATGTTTTAAGTGTGACGTCAGCGTAATGTGGTTGTTTTTTATATCGGATATACCACATAAAGAAGGTTTTCCTTTTGTGGTATTGTTTCTTTATATCATTAGATCTCTTTTGTTATATTAAAATATTATTTACATATTTATTCTTACGTCTGGTTTTAGGACCAATTTTTATAATACTTTCTAGATCTTTTAATCAACGATGAACAGCTACAGACGAAGGTAAAACTACGTGTATAGCCGTTCATACGTATATCTCATTTTTTTTGTCATACAAATTGTGATTTGAGAGTAACTGAGGTATAGATGGAGACAGTGTCATAGTTGAGATGTGGTATTTAAATTTGATTCTTTCAAACCGGGCTTTTCCACCCACCTATGTGGATGGAGATAGGGGACTCCGGGGCCAATCCCTCTGCCCAGTGTTAGTCGTAAAATGGTTACAAAGTATACATAAAAGTGAATTAACTTCTCCAAGAAGTAAAATGGAAAATTGAAAATTATTTTTAAAAAGTTCATGCTAATTGCGCGGCTCTGATAAATTTAGTATGAATATTTCTAAAATTACTTTCAGATTTCCATTTTATTGGTGAAAGAGTCAATTCTAATGAACATTTACCTGGATTTTAACCCTTTGGATAGTAACAAACTAATTTTAAAGTTTACATGATTATAACTACCTGTGTTCAATCTTCTATTATATTCTACATGTGTGTTTATAATTGAATTTATATTTGAGGGTTTTATAATTTATAATTCCGCATCTGTTAATAGAATGTTGTAAGGACCTGCCCCTACAATTTCAGCGATAAGTGTTGAATGTAAATAATGTTAAGAAGGTAATACACGACTGGGTCAGTTTTCAATTATTACTTGATTAAATGAGAATTACTTGTATACCATTTTAATGTATTGTCAGCGTGCGAATAATTTGAAAAAATATATATTTTTTATTACAAATTGAAATCATTTTCGTAATTTCAATGTTTTAAAAATTTACTTGAATGAAATTAATGTCAGATTGATTGGATCCACCATAAGTGAAACCCTACCTTGAAACGTACCGATTTCAAAACGTTAAATCACAATCGGTGAGTCTAAAGAGAATTAAAGATTGAACTGTCGTGTAATACTGCCTTAAAGTGTAGATTGAAACATAGGTATGATTGTAATGAACCAAAGATTATCTATTTACGTAAGTGTACATATCTCTTGGACGACACAGTGTAGGTGCGGGCAGCGGGAGCGAAGGAACGCGGGCGGCCGGGTAACTTTTAACACCTAGCTAAGTTCTGTTGCTCACCAGTGGACGCACTGTTGAAATTATATCATGGTATAATTTTAAGAAAATTTTATTAGAACCACTGACTGTATGACTATGTAACACTGTGAGCATTCAATATTTATCCATTTACACATATTTATGTACGTGTTAACTTGTACCATTGTGTAAAAGTTACCGTGGTTTATCTTACATATATTTGACGTATATAGGAATTCCGGAAACGGACTTAGCTTCAATGTCTTCAACGCATTTATGAAACTTTCAAGAAATGTGGACGCATAGAAATTGTACCATACATGTCTTACAAATATGTACACTCTTACCCCATCGAGACTTTGTAGGCTTATACGAATTTGAATTTGAAGCTACGTCTGGAAAGGACTTAGAACCACTGTCTCATATATATTAATATGTAACACTATAACTATTAAATATTTATCCATTTAGGCTATGAACACATTTATGTACGTGTTGATTTAAGCGTGTAAGAGAGTATGATTTATTTGTAATTTAGAAATAATATGTAACATGAAGGGCTGAGGTACAGCCGTTGGCGCGGGCCGACATATCTGTCTAGCGCATTGACATTTATGCGGTGGCAATTTTAATCGTGTTTCGTGAAACTTAGATTGAGACAAGGAATAATAACAATGCGGGCAATTTCCATTCATAACTGATAGTTTGATCAATTCTACTATTTGATCACGACATGCATATAACGCTAACAAAAATTGTGTGGTGAAGCACAATTGTCGCCATCTAAATATGCCATACTGTGTTCAAAACCAAGATACAAGTGATTGTCAATGCAATGTCACTAGCAGAATCGGCAGCGCTGACAGCTGTACAGTGGGCGTCGCTGGGTGCTATGCTAAGACCAAGATAGTTTTTGGAAACTGATTGTTTAATGAATGATGTTTTGGAATCGTATTTGCTTAGTTTTTTTAAATCGCATAAGATTAAATTTATATCAACTTTGTGAACGGAATTTTTAAAATAATTTCGGAGGCCTACATGTCATATGTCGGAGAGTTGTGATCGTTTTGTTATTATGTAAGATATTTATTTTTCGTTGATAAAATAAACTGGTTTTAATTTTAAGCGCATTGATTCTATACAAGTATTATTAGCATTAAGTTCTTTGGGTTTAAAAAATAAATTTGCTTTGTTATATAATAATAAGTATATGTACACCGCTTTTAATCGTGATGCTAAATAGTTCTAATTGTCGTGCAGCGGCTTGTTCAATATTTCTTTTTAGATATTTAGCTAAGGTTGGTATGATTGTTTACATGTGTAAGCAGTACTATCTCAGTGTAGAGTTAAAATAAAAGTAGATGTTCAACATATTGTGCTACTATTATATCTTGTCCGTTGTCACGTTACAAACGTACCACTATCCGTCCCCACTTACAGAAATTCTAAATTCCTTTTAAAATAATAATCTATAAATTATTCTGTCAGTGTAGTTGGTTATTATCAGGTCGATGTAATAAGAAAGATAGGAAACTCTTTTTGAACCGATTATGAATTGTTTCATATCAAATTATCAAAGTATTTCTGCTAAAAACAATGTAATGTTACAAGATTGAGGCCGGAGTAAAGACGAAAAGGATCCCGCTAAATTTGGTATTTACAATATTTTAATGGTAAACCGAAATCAATTCCATTTAAAACAATCCGTTCTACTCATTGTGGTAATAATAAAATTATCATTTATGATGACTTAATAAAAACTTTAAAACACTAAGATATTAAAGAACTAAGAAAGTTGGTACTGTCCCTGACATCAATATATCTATTTATAACGTGTAGATAAATATAGATGAGATAGGAACTTGATTCTCTATAGCGTAATGGACTGCACTGGCAGAATATTGATACTGGTCTACTTCAACCTAACACTTCTACAATAGTTGTTTCACTGTTGATATATTTGATGTATGCGATGTTAATGGAAGATTTCTCTTCATATTTAGAATAGCATTTGATCTGTAGCTAGATCTGAGTAGAAGAGGTCTGTTCATTCAAACCTGAACATTTACATGTGCGATGAGGCGTCCAAGACTTTGGATTATAAAAGTCCTATCATCGATTGGTTCACTCAAGTTCATATAATGAGATAATAGTTTTGGCTACAGTTTTCTAAAAGTACGCGCATATTTTCGAATGGAACAGAGGCGACCACATCGTACATATAACTTGTCATGGTGCCTACTATATGCTTCGTAGAAGTACAATAATACAAACATATTTTCTAGAAATAAATTTTATGAACCTTAAAATGAAACTTCATTTTGTAGTGAATAATCGACGTCTAATTTATAGTCAGACGATTATTTGTGTGAATTTTATGGAACTATTAAAAGGTGATTTTATAAATATTGTTGTTTTATTACTGATTAATCCTTTTCATTTCATAGCATCATACCATAAAATTGGAGAGGTTCTTGTAAAATAAAACAAAAATACATACGAGTGACCGATATACATATATTTCACTTAATAGATATTAACAGAACGTGTTCCATAATATAAAACATAGACGTCTAAAACTAACATTAGATCAGTACAATGGAACTTATGATGTATGTTAATTTAATTACTACAATTTTACTGTAACCATAAATTATAGATCTATAACCGGAGATGTCCTGTCAAATATAAATAGGGATGTCAATTTTGCTTAAGAAATATATTGACCGTTTGCTTGCTAAACGATAAAAGTTCAGCTTCATTATTTATTATGAATAATCTAATCATCGGCGCCTATATTTATGCAATTTTAAATTATAGCTCCAGAAAAGACTAAAAAAAAAAATAGCTATACAATGATATTACTGATAATTTATATCGATTGTGATCAATATTTTAGTATACATATAGAAGATAATACAAAATGATCTCGAACTAACTCGCAAACACCACGCGTGTACACTAAATTCAGAATACAGGAATGTTAGGTACGAAATACACGAACTATATAATAATACAGCATGTGTACTGTATGAACACTAAGATTGAAAAGAACATCCCGGTATAGTGAGAGATCCCGGTATATTTCACACGTAAAAGTCCACCAGTCAAAACAAAATACAAAAAAGACATCTCCCTTTATAGATCGTGAAAGCCATTAAAAAAAAAAGTGAACAATATCCTTTAATATAGAAGAACCTAATTATAGGTACACCTAGTATAGTATATCGACAGTGTTACAGCACCGTCAAACACAGTTAAAAAACACTACGGACTTAAATTATGAATACATATTGCCAAGTCTGATATATTTTATCACGGCCTTTCTATATATGAAGGTACGTGCACACATATTCAGTTACAAGATATACACCTATTACTTTAAAACTAGTAATTTAGAATCAATTATTTAATTTTAGAATCAAATTAACTATTTTTCTAGTAGGCACATGAAGCTATTATTAAGAATTTGATTGATTATAATTTGGAATCAAATTTTCAATGATATAATTAAGAAATTGTTTTAGATCTTGTTTCTAACTAAATCTATAATTAATAAATAAATAAATCAGTTAAAATTATTTAAAATTAATTTATGATTATTAAAATAATTATATATGAATAACAATCAGATTATTAAGATTTAAAATCTTTCTACAGAGTAGATAATGTTCTATAGACAGATAATCAATTCGTCAATTCTCCATCCCAACATCTAATGTGACTTCTGCATGCTGTTCTACAAAGATGACACTTTTATGAAAGGATTTTTGAGTCTCTATAACAATCAATAAATCAGTAAACAAATATCATTCATCATGAAAATGTTGCCGTGTCATCTTACTTTTTTTCTTTCTTGATACATTTTAGCTTACTGTGCCAAACTGAAATAATTTGGACGTTTCTACTATCGAATATGCTTATAGTAATTAATAATAATTAAGAGGAAGAAGGTAGGTACTGGTTATTTATGTTGCACTAAATTAAAATTATTAAACGAAATATATCATTAGGACTTAAATATGGACAGCTCCGCAATACATCGCAAATTTTAAAATATCATTGCAATTTACCTCTAAAATTATATAAGCATATATATAAAGAACATACTAAGTGACTTGTATTAATCAATAAATATAAAACCTTAGTAATAAGAATCTAGAAGTAGTGGTTAATACAGGTTGCATTGTTACAAGGTACAATAATCATATTACTTATTGTTCAAACGTTTCATAATCATATATAATAAATAAGCTACGGGTTGTAAACTAAACAACAAATCCAAGAGTGATATATACCCAGTTTGAAACTAAGCAAACTTTTATTATTGATAGATATTGGACATCTGATATTTGGCCTTTCAATTTTTATTATATTAAAATATAAAATATACATTTTCATCAATACCAAGACCAATATAATTACATACTCGTAAATACAAATGTTTTGTGATGTACAGGATCAAAACTGCAACCAACAGACAAATAGTTGTCTATTAAAAAATCAAAATAGCGTACATATCTTTGGAATTACTGATAAAAATTATATTATAATAAATAGACACTAAACATTGAATCGAAATATAGAGAAAAAATAATATGATTGCGATTGTTTTAATGACGTTTGTTTCAAAGCCAACAAAAATAGTTACTCTTAGGGTTTGGTAAACCCTAAAAGCCACTATTCCTGTTCGCCTAGTACAGCAATATCGGCCTGTCTACTCTAGAAAATAATTACAATAAAGTTACATTTCGTGCCCTGAGGAGATAAAAACCATTGCTCCTAAGAATATCCTTCAAATCTTCTTTCTTTCGAGCACAATAGATCTATGTAGGTTGCAGTGCTAAGGTCCAAAGCACCAAATAGTGGTCAATGAAAGAACTAACTGACATTGTCCTCGACTTATTCGGTTCAGTATTGATATTTTTCCAAAATAAGGAGCACAAAAATGGATTGGAACGAAGTTATTATTGAGATTAGACTCCAGAGTAGATCTGCAGAAATGCAAAAATGTAAGTAGGTAGGACGGTATTAATCCACTAACTTTATGCCTATATTACCAAATAAAATCATTAGTAGTAATTAATATACAAATTTATCACATGCAAATATACATAATAAGTTTCGATAAAAATATTGTATTTCATTTTAAAATTATATTATTCAATGTTAGACAATGGCTGTCTTGTTTCACTTTTATTTTGGCAATAATATTTTGATAATCAATTTGCCAAAATAAAAGCAAAACAGGATCACAAAACATTAATGAAAGTGTAATATTAAAAGTACATGCATATAAAATAATAAATTAATATAAAACGTCTATAAAATGATATAGATTATTCGGTTTTACAGTAGCAATCAAATATTTTATAGATTGGTAGTTAAAACATTTTAATACAAGCCTATTAATAGGTATCAGTTACAAACTAAACAGTTGAAAGGATCTTAATGAGATTTGACGTAAGTAATGATCATTGGGACTAACGTAGGCCATTCTTTTATACAAAAAAAATCACCAAAATAGATATAAAAACCATGCTACTACGTAATCAAAATCTAAAGTCAATTGCAACAGAAATAGGTTTATATATTAATGAACGGTCGTGAAGTCTTAGATATTCATACCTACATTTTAGGCACATTAAGTATTAAGGATCAAAAACGGGTCTCATAATAACGTGTTAGCGAAAAACAACATCCTAAACAGTATCAGCTATGCGGTATCACGAAAAAATATTATAGGTCGTACCAAAATCATTCCATACATTTCTCAGTTTATTTAACAGTGGAGTTAGACCAAGTGTTCGTCAATAAACAAACACGTGGAAAATTCAGCATTTTAGATAGATTTTAAACCCACGTTGGTATCTAGAGTATACAGATAAGATATATTACTTTGAAATACAATACAAACGCCTATACATTTAAATATTAATTCAAAGTTCAATGAATTCCAGCAATGTACGTTCATTCCAAAAAGTGCAATGGAAAATGTCATTCCAACTGAAAACATAATTTCCTTTCTGTAACATATTTCAGAAACCATTAAATATAAGGATACTTAAATATTTTCTTGTAGCAAACTATAAAGGTAATCAATCACAGGACATCTCCCAAAAGATAGAGTAAGCACAGCCTCTCACTAGTCCGGGCAATCCAAAATTTCCACCGTAAGCCGAGATTTAAATTATTTTTGGAAAGCCATCCTAATTTTTATACATGTATGTATATGACTGTCATTAATAGTAAACTTTTTATAATTTTTACTTGTAATTTATAAAATGTTACGCGACTACATAATACTGATTACAACTGGATTATATTGTCACGATATAATAACTATCAAATTGTATGCAATTGTATGGAAACCCATTTAAATTATCATCAACGACAAGCATCATTACGTTAGGCTATTATTGTTTGTTGTTTTAGAATAGATTCAGAAAGTATTTTATATAAATACCACCTACTTTAAATTGTATGGCCAATATCTCCACTATAATGCAAGAAATAAATTAAAATAGTTTTAAAGAAATGTTATGAAACAATATGGCATCTCATGAAATATGACCAAATATATATTTTTTATACATATCATAATATTATAAATAATATACCTTCACGTAAGGTTTGTCCGATAGAGTAGCATTATCAATGTGGACGCCGTGAAAGTGACACATGTTCTAATATAAGATATCATACGGTAAATTATAAAAGCACCCAATATCAATAATTTTATTATTAACAATTTTACCGTACCTTCCGTGCCTACAGGTACCGCCAATACTTACCACTAAACATACGCAAACATTACATGTTTACAAAGGAAATACATGTTCGCATTCAATACAATAATAGTTACATTCAAAGCTCAGCCAAGTGTGCCCTGTATATTCCAGCCGATTATCTCAATTATAGAAGATAATTATTAGAATGATCAGAATGACTATTGCGAGTACAATACCCAAGTATACCTTCTTCTTTCGCAGTTTGTTCTGAAATTAAAAAAAAACATCAGTTATAAGGTGTACTTATGAAGGGACATTATTGAAACAAGGCTTGTTATATACACCAGCAACCCGCAATAGCAAAGCTAAGATTTTGCAGTGTCCTTATAACAAAATCCACTCTCTCTCTGTCTCATAATAGATATTAGTTTATATGTACTAATAAATACATACATTATTTTCACGGAGATGAACTTCTTTAGAATTCTGTCATCATATGATAGATATCACATGATAGTGTGATATTTGTGGTACGGCTCAGGTATGTACCATTTCCCATCTGTTAGTTTGTTTGTCATTCCATTTCATGCCTCTTATCCTCCAATTTACCTTTCAACCGAAACAGCCTCAGCAAAAAGAGCTTCTTGAAAATTACTGTAGGTAGAATGCACTTTTACATAATCCATCAAAAGGTAAAAAAATATCAAAAATTTACCTTGTAACTGGCAGCTTCGGTAAGTTGGTGAGTTCCAGCCTCAACTCTCTCTGAAGCATACTCTACATTGGACTCGATCGAGTCCACCACTGAGCCCTGGTCGTGGATCATCTGCCCAAGATCCTTAAATATCTGGTTCACATCCATTATGTCGCTCTGCAAATACAAACAAGATGTAGTAGTTATTATATAACTATAGTGATTAATACACATTATTTATATTGTTAACCAGGTCTTAATTTTATGGTACATAAAGGTTTCTCTTGACGTTTCGAAATAAGATGAACTTATTTTTAAATGTTTGTGGTTAATATATATATTTAACCCTACTAGGTTGCAATAGAAGTGATCACGAGCTGACGTGGTAACGTCGAGAGAAGTAAATACCTTTATTTACTATAAAATTATTTGTGCTAAGACCCAGTTAATAATATAAACAAGATACTAGTCGGTAAACTAGCAGACACATATTATCGAAAAGAAGGATTATTAATAATAGACATATGATTATTTATTGCTATTTTTTTACAGATTTCTTGTTAAGAATTTGTAATAGAGCACCCACTAACATCCACTATCTGCTTCTTGGCAGCTCTTCTCAACTGTAGTAGCTAGATACGAAATTATGACTGTAACAAGGTAAAAACTTCCTTTTGGAAAATGGCTCTTCTTTATATGCCGTCTCCTACTGGAGGTTGCATCGTCATAGCGGTCTTAATTTTGTCCGTCGCTGTTCTGAACAGGGTTCTAGTGCTAATCCCAACCCACTGTCTTAAGTTATTTAACCCTGAAAAAAAAAAGGCATTTTACCTCGAGCTGCCTGATGTCCCTCTCCCTCTCCTCGAGCTCCAGTAGCTCTCTCTCGCTCTGCATCGTCAGCTGCTCCTGCTTGCGAACATTTGTTTCGCCCATCTCCACCAAATCCTTATTATCGTCTGCACAAAAAAGAAGTTTTATTATAATTTAACGTTGTCATATGATTTTACCCAAATACATCGTAAAGCAGAATGTATACAGTACCACTTACATATTTGTCTTTTTTTTATTATTGTACTATTTTTAAACCGCGTACACAGCGACAGTATAATAAATTACGTTTTAGTCGTAATTATGAGTTTATTATTATAATTGCGGCTTCGTGAACATATAAAATAAATATATAAAAATTTTGTAAATATATTTTTGACAGGATAACAAGAAAGTACTACATCTACGTCATACAGCATCATAGAAAGATATTGCTGTATTTTACTACACAATACTTATGATTTATTATTCATTATCACGACTTAATCAACATATTATTACTTAGTAATTAAATCACTTATCTTGTAATATGACATTATAAGATCGACTATACCTACTCTACTTGAATTAACAAATTAAATTGAAACTATAGTCATTATTTCAAATGTATGTCGCGTATGATGAATTCATTTTCCTGTACTTACATAAACCACAGTATCATTCGTTATAGAAGGAAATCTATTAGGTTTTATCAATTATGTACATATTCAATATTGTATATTTCAAACATGTTCATGTTTAAACCGTTCAAATTAGTTCTATTGTATTATTTTTGTAAGGGATGATAATGATATGGCGCATCCACCTGTACTAACGGTGTACTATATGGGGAACTAATGGAAGATAATACTATCAGCATGAGATCAATTAGCCTATCATGACACGGTGGTTACTAGGACTACAATAAGAATCTTTAGTCTCTATTGAATTAGCTTCCACTGTCTGTTCACTTAGTTCTTTTAAACTACGCAACTGATGTTAATACAGTTGTTGGCAATAGATAGTTGTTTTAAGAGGAAGATATAGATATATGTATAATAAATGTACACCCGTGCGAAGCCGGGGCGGGTAGTTATTATATTACCATCAATCGATAGCGAACTACAAATATCAACTAAATTAATTTTATACTCTATTATAAATAAACAGCGCTGATTAGTACGTGTGAATGCGACAGTGAGTGTTATCTATATATATCTCCTTGATAAAACTCACACCCACCCTATCGTTGCCTCATTATCGTCCTTCACAATAAGCATACATTACGTTTTAAGAGTTATCACTGGGTTATCATCAAAAGATGAAGAAACCGAAATTAAAACAAAATCTGCAGAAAAGAAATGTTATTCAGAAAATTATTGACAATAATTGTGTTGGTCTAAGTTATGAGGACTCGATTCTCAGTTCATTCAGTAAATTAATGAGCAGCGCTCTTGTTGGTGGAGCTTTTACCACTTTCTACGATCTTCCATCATACTCTTTAAACCTCGATACGACACGACTTCTATTCTGTCTTTCATTTGCTTGATGTAGCGGTGCTTTGATCTTCCACTACCCCTCTTTCCTTCTATCTTTCCCTAAATAATTACCTTCATAAATTCGACTATAGGTATTTATTCAATTATTATTCATAGTGCAGAGCTATTTACCGTAATTTTTCATGGACTGAAAAATTACGGTAAATATCTCTGCACTCACTCAGTCCATCAATATATATAAATGTGTTGTCCGGAAAAAATATTCCATAATATTTACGACTGCCGCGACTCATATAGTCGTATCCTGTTAGTTTGTCAGTTTTACTATTATTAATCTTTTGTGTAACGTAATCAAAAAGTAATTGTTATTTGTATTTTTTTTTATGGATAAACATTTACATTTTACAGAGACCTTCGTTTTCAATGTTTTCAGCTACAACTGAGAAAAAGAGACCGACATTTAGTCACGATTTCAAATGAAACTGTCGAATACAGCGAATCCGAATTCTACATAATTTTACAGTGTTAGTTCCTAGAAGTGTAAAAATATATAGGTATAAAACAAGATATATATACTCACTACTCAGAGCGAAGGGATCACCGATGTTTATCGACTGCGATTTCACTTTCTTCACATCTTCTTTGTTTTTCTGGGCAGCAGATCTTTGTGTGGCCTGTAAAAATTAAATAAGCGAATGTCTAAATATTATTTTGTATACGTACAAAACGTGTTCAACGAAAACCAATATATTAATTATGTTAACATTTCTACAGCATCTTTAATTATTTCTATTTACGCATAAATTTATCTATGATTTATATCAGTGTACATTTTTATAAGACTTTCCTACGTAAATTTGATAAATATGTAAAACAATTTATTGTCAAGTTTCGTTTACGTAGTTTGTACAAAAGAAAGAGTATTATAATAGCGACATGTTTTTTCCCCTTTCTTTCCTTGATACAAGTGTTGTAAAACCTTCCTTATGGAAAAGTACAACATGATACCATACAATAGAAAAAAAAATAGAAATAAATAGTGCTGAAATAAAATATTTGTTGCACTCTAGAAGATATCGCTATACAGTACGATTAGACAAGTGTTAAAAGTATTAATTTCATTGTCATAATCTTGTTAATTAAATTGAGTACTATAATAATGTTTAACAATTTGTATATGTATGTTATTATATTCAATGCATAATACGTAATATCGAGCATCTGAAAATATTTTTACAAAAGTTCTTGATAACTAACTTGAGACTATTACCGTCATTGTCGTCATAACAATTCTTGTAGGACCACCGCTGTGCACCCCGTAGGGGTGTAATTTATTTATATTATCACGCTAACCCGACTCCGAGAGGACGAAGGGGATTATTGATAATGGATACTAGTGGCTCCATTACTAGCTATCTATTATTAATTCATTTATATTTAATCAACAGCCTAAAAAAATAGTTTAAAGATTGTAGTCTTAAAATTGACGACACTTCTATACAAGCTTTTATCTCCCCTTTCAACCTCTTACAACGTATGTCCTTTCTTAAAGTATAAAAGCGTAGTAGTAGTAAAAGCGACTGACAAGCAGTTGCTTTCATTAATTATTATTAGTAAGGATGTAAATAATTAAGTAATGAATTTATCTACACTATCTAAAATAGTTTACTGTTTTACTGTTACATATATATATATATATGTAATATTAGTACTTGTTTTATTTCATGTAATTATATAATAGTATAAAAGGACTCAATATCCCTTACTCATCATATTGAAACGCGCAACCTTGTTTGTTTTTATTTATGTACTGCACAAAGGAAACCCTACAACAAACGATTTACAATATGTCATTACGCACATGCGATTTAGACTTAATCATATACGAATAGAATTAAAATATTGCATGACTTGCCACGGTAGGTAGCTAACGCCGTCTTTGATATTTTGATAAGTATTCAATTGTTGTTTGTGTTTATTTCAAGATAACTAAAGCAGACACACTTAAAATAGTCAAAACGTTACAAAGTAAGTACGTAAAAAGACAAGGCCTAATACAAAGTAGTCCGCTTAGGCACGTCTATCTTATATATTTATTATGTTGATGATATAGCAGAAAAATACTAGGTACGAAGGCTTTATACTACCATATGCATATTCCAATCACATAAACAAAAGAAAGGTGAGCAATGAATATCTTATGTGAGAAAAACGCACCTGGAATGCATTGAGTGTGGCCATGTACTCATCGTTTAGGCGGTTCCGTTCGAGTTTGCTGGCCGGCTGGTCTGTGGGCACTTTCATCAGCTCCATCAATAATGATGAAGTATCCTTGGCCAGTTTTTGTGTGTAATTCTGGATCTGACGTCTGTTTATCAGATAAAATAACTGTGTTAAGCCTCAATAATGTAGCCGTTTAACAAAAGAGCCTAACTTCCAAAGGTTAGATTCTAGCATGATACAAACTATTTGCATTCATAAATAAGATTGTTTCCTATTGACATTTATCTATAATTACCATATATATAGGTTTTTCTTATAAATGTTCTCTCTTTTGCACTAATGTACCAAGCTTTCCCTCTGTGACCTTTTACTTATCTTAGAGATTTAGGTAGGTCAATAATCGAGTAATACAAGAAAATAATTTCTATTACAATAATACTGTGTATGACAAGGTTGCCCAACATAGAGTCAATAATGTAACAAGTCCAGTGTTAGTCGGAATGCTTTTCTCTCTTTATTTATTATATTAGTAGAAAATACAAAAACAATAGCCATTAATATTAATACTGCACAGAGGATTTTCATGGAAATAACTTTAGAACTTCACAAAGACTATACATAACCACTTACAATTGATTTCTTAGCTCTTGTGAATCCTGAGGTGTCTGGAGCTGGTTAACCATCTTTGTCATTGAAGACACTGTAAAATGTGATGATTATTGGACTAAAATCAAGAATTAAATAGTAGTAGCAGTAAAATTAAACACTTTTTAATAGTACTTTTTTTTTAATCTTTCACTCTTTGTGAATGCTGTCTCATCATAACAAGTAGGTAAATGAAACTTGCATGTAGCTCTTTTAAATAATTGTTGTATCTTTACATTTTTAAATTGAAATGTGTGAATACAACCACAAACTAACACTAATTCATTAGAGTCTAAATATAAATTACATAATAAACCCCTTAAGTAACCAAATATTGCAAGATAAAATCAGTTGTGGAGATTAGACCAGATCAGTCCCTACAAGCAGCACTCGTTTACAAGCCATCACTGCCATCACTGCCATCAATGTGCTCAACCATGTTTTAGGGAGCCCAATGACCCACCACAAACAATGTGAGCATGACTACTAAAGACACTCAGCCACATCATAGCTACTATCATGTGATAGCGTCTACTATAACATTTGCACTTTACATAAGATGGCATGTGGCAATCAATACCAAAACCACTATTATCAAGAAAGCAATAAGAAAACAACTTAAAATTTTGTCGGAAAATAAAATTCACTAGGTATTATTGTCATCTAATAATTCATCTAACCTACATATAGGGATTTTTCCACAAAATTTACTCTACACTCCCCTTTTCAAGTAACTCAGTATGAAAAACATACAAAATACATGTTAAGTATCAGATAACATCCATGTTTTTTGTTATTCTTGGTTTCATTAGTTTCACCATTGTTATAAAAAATACACCTATTGTCCTTCAACAAATTTTTAATTAATCCTAATGATTAATTAAACTGTTTACATAAAAACTAATAAAACCTTATCAATACATCACACAGAAGATTATTTTAATGCATAGTTTTTACTGAACGATTGTTGTATGATATTGGTCGCACATTAATATCAATACATATTATAAAAATCTCTCTCTCTCTAGTCTCTGGTCACTGGTACGTGAGAAAAACTATTGTTCACAGATTTTTTTGGTCGAGCGCCAAAATTATGCTCCCTCCTTACAAAAATTATTTTGTTAAGATTCTATTTACACTATAAATAAAGTATTGTTAGGGGACTTTATTAATGTATTGTCTTCCTGACTATATATGCTACATGGTGGTGGGGACAGCATTTTTGGGGATTATGTCCGTAATCAAATGTATTGTATGCTATCATGTCCCCAGCAACTATTCCTCCCCTTTGTCTTTAGTACTAGAACCCAAAATAAGGACTGTTAGAATTTTTGTATTGTTGTCTGTATGTTTGTGCATACTAATGAAAAAGAGGGTTTACAGTTAACCCATTGTAGCAATTTCACCTAAAATTAATCTCAATTGTTACAAATAAGTCCCTATTACTGACAATCATCTCTCCTGTTAGTTGAGCAGTCATTTTTATTAAAGTATCTAGAAATGTAATGTGGTGGACTGTGATTATGATCCCAAAATATAGTTAAGTGCAATGATGGTTGATTCAGTAATTATTTGCATAATCAGATAATGATTGTAGGTACTGGTTTGTACTGTTCTCTATAAATATCTGTCAGGTATATTTTATGTCTATCCTAATAAAATTATTTTGTAAGTATGGGCAGTCATTTGTCCCTAAGTGAACTGATATCCTTGTAAACTATGGGTAAATTGAATAATTGTATCATATGCGCAGAAGTATTACTCACCATTCTGAGATATTTTCTTGATATTGCTAGCAATTGTTTGTGAGAGACGCTTGAAATTATTTGCGCCCTCGTCGTAGGTAACGCCTCCTTGATACGAAGTCTCCATCATGTCTAATTAATTAACAATAGACTTTATCAGACATTATTAAAAAAAACACAATGTACATATATCTTTATAAACACATTTATATTACCTGCTTTGTAATTGTCACGTAGATTTTAGATTCGGCGTCAATATCTATTATTATGTTGCTAATTTATTCCGAAACAGCGTACAATTATTTTTCTAGACAGAACTACTTTAAATTAAGAAAATAATGAAAATTTTCATAAATTTATGCGTGTTGTATGAATCAGTATATCACCAGAATGAAAGAACAAAAATGTACAATTTGATTCAATTTGACGACTTTGACGTGAAACCTACTTATCTATACAGCAAAAATTATTAATTTGTACTAACTACGACTGACTAGTGTTGACGGCGGATGATCAAGTGGATGACATTGATTGACGGACACAATAGATTTTTTTTTATTTCATCTTTATTCAATACTAAAAAAAATAATAACGTGCGGGAACACACGCAATATTTTGACTATTTTTAGTAATAATAAATAAAACATTTTCAACGATTTAGTCATTTTTCTATGTCTTTACCTATGCATTTAGAAAAATACACATTGAAGAATTTCTATCAGTAATCTAGTACCCGTAAGTCACGTTCTGCTTTGTTTGGTACTAGATAGCGCTGAGTGAATTTTCACTGAACTCCTTGACCTTTTGATATATCAAATATATTTTGATAAATCTATATAAATCTTAATAATAAAATAAATCTATATATACGCAGGACAAACTAAGGCTTTTTGATTGCAAGTACAGCGAAAATGAACGGAGTCCGGCTTGTCCGACTTTTTACGTTATTTTTATTGTACTGTATTGTGTTGTATTGTATCTTTTATTGTACTTTTTAATTGAATAACTTAAAATGAAGAAATTTTTGTTTAGATATTTTTAATATTAGCAGGTAAATAAGAGTTATTCATGCAATTGCTATTCATTAGAATTTAACAAGATTTAAGGTAATAATAAACAGGATCGATTTTAGATAAATATTTTTGATCGTACCTATTAATACTGACATACAAAATCCTAAATAATGTAGAGTGTCCGGCCTTTTTATCCAAATGTCCGGGAAAACTTATTGATCACTTCGGCTATTAGGTTTGGCTACCTGGCAACCCTGTGTCTGTATTATAAGCATAGAGTATGTATGTAAGGATCGGCTACCAAAAAGCGCACTATATTGGTCTATGGTAAATGCATACCAACCGTTACACAATAAAATTGCACTTGTTTTATGATGTTGTCTATATGTATTTTACCTATATTGTGTATTTGTCTTCGTGTCCTATCCTGCTTTTTTATTTAGAAATTTTCATGTGTGCATACCCACCTGTAAAGATTCGTTTTATTTACTCATGTATTGATCGACAAGCCAACGAATGGTCAATGCATTTTTTTTCTGACCATGAGCTTAGTATATAATAGAATTGCATAGGGTTGATTGTCTATCACGAAATTATTTCTGTAGCCGAAAAGGAGAGAAAATGTTCGTTCCCGTTAGATTTTGTAATGTTTATGTTTAGAGTGGCATAACAGGAAATGGAATTTTAATCTAAACTTTATGGTTCAGGTAAAACTACCTACTTTATTTCGAGATTACATTTTAAGTTCGAAGGTATATTGTTTTACATTGTGCTGGTGTTCGTCCACAGGTTACTGTATCGTGCACTAAGAACAATGGATCCCTCATTATTTTTGCCATATTCGCCTCCAACTGGACTGCCCCAAGAGTCCAAATTGGTCACTTACATGGTAATATATAAAACTTTAAGATATCACTTTGATTTAGTGAATATGAGTACCAGCTTCCATTAATCGTATTGCTATTTCAGAATCGGTCTACATCGACTCCAACAAGAACACTGACCCATGCACTGGGTAAACTTACTTTGGAGGCTTCACCACCCGCCATCAAAAAGGTATGTGTGAAACTTTTATGCTGTTGTAACAATGAGTTAACTCATTTATTTGTTTAACATCAATGTGTAATTTAGGCTGTAAATTTAACAGAAATAAACTCTACAGGTTTTGATAAGTGAGTTTGTGCCAGTGGGCTACTACACTCCCGCTGGCATACTGCCGGAATCTCCGGAAAGTTCCCCACCGCAAACATTAGCACCACTACCCTCAAACAACCAAATTCATCAGGTAATTATAATTTATATACTTAGAAATAACAAATTTATATTTTATCTTGTCATGATTGCTTTTCTTTCACACTGATTGTTTGTTTAGGAAAATGTTGGGGGCACAACATACTTCTATTCCACTAACTCTGATAGTCTGAATACAACTGGAGGAATGAATTCTTCTGCTTCCATGGGTATGTTGTATTTTCATCTATCATTATTTTATAGTTTAAATCACTACAGTTAGAAAATTGTATTATATGAATTTAGGTTTTAACTACCTACCTTCAATTTTTATTATAAAGGACATTCTGTGAGACAAAGACTGATGGACTCAAGTGTTCTAGGTAGTATATGTATATTGAATCTGCTGGATACAAATAATCATCTATTTGGTTAAAATGTTTGTCTAGTCAGTATTTGATACAAATTATATTCTTTTAGTTTTTCTTTGGTCTGATTGGGAAAAAATTATACTGAAATTTTGGTGTGCTTTATTTTCAGAATAATATATTTTAGTCAGCCACCTTTATTACTTACTATCTGGTCTTTGGCAGCATGAAATTTATAGCTTATGTATTATTTTTATGTAAAAGCTATATTACTGTAAAGTTTCATCAAATCTGTTCAGTAGTTTTTGTGTGAAAGAGTAATAAACATCCATACTCACAAACTTTCGTGTTTATGATGTTGATAAGATTCAGCGATTTCTTTGTACTGTTCACAATTAGTTGTACTCACAGTAGTCTACCTATTTTAACAGAGGTAGACATCATGAGATATTTTCTGAGTGGGTGGTGATGGTCACATTAAAGGGTGAATTAAGACCAGAATAGCATATCACACGTCATGTGATAAAGTGATCTCCCCAGTACATTACATATATATATTTATATATAGGAGAAGGTTACCACATATTCTCAGGTAATGATGGGATTTTGAAAATATGTAAAAAATATTATAAAACATGCAAAACTTTTTTCTTTTCTTAAAATGTTCCAGACGCAATATTATTAATTTGGCCTTACCAATGGCCATCCATTCAGGAGATCATAGTTTGACCTATTCAATTGAAATAAATGAATTTGTATTGTCAGTTGTCGCCTTCTCAATGCCTTCTATCAATATTGTGGGATACCTTATATGCAATCGTTGACAAACCTTATATATATGCATATACAAAATGTATAAAACCGTGTATATATAAAATTCATATACCTACATTGGCACAAGGTCAAAGTAATTATTTTTTTATTTTGTACCCTAATCTCAGAAATGGTATGTCATTGATGATTTTAGCAAAATACTCGTAACATGTACTATTGGTTACATTCCAATCGGTCCGTAAATTCATTTCAGTTAATAAATAATACGCGATATTCTAGCGCCTTGGCCAAGTTACTTAAACGGCAAATAAATATTCTGTATTTTTGCGGGTATGCCGCACAACGTCATGACAAATTATGTACCGATTTCATTTGTTGCTTTTTGCTATATACTAAAATCATATCAGTATTATTTTTATCTCTCTTCAATTCAGAATGTAGTTTGGGTATAAAAACACGTAAGAATTCTGCATTTAATTGCACATATCACAATTCTGCATATTATTGCATGAAATAAGATTGTATATCATTGTTTTCCGATTACGATTTCCTGTAGGGAAAAATTACAATACAAAAAATCTGACTTTCATAAGCGGCTAAAATGTTCTATATGAATAAATGATTTTTAAAATCATTTGATTTGATTACGGCGAAGCAAAAATGACGATTATAATTGACCGGTATTTAAATGTTCGTGAATACCTTCATACTACTTCCACACTACTTATTTATTTAGTTGAAATTTAATGGATTCCCAAAAAGCGAAGTGGAAGTAAGAAAGAAATTTTACATGCTTCATCGACATTTTCACATACGAACTTTCGTAACTCTGTCAGTTTGTTTGTCTGAAATGATTTAAATCAAATTTGATACACAGATAGTCTAGACCCTAAGAAAGGACTTAGGCTACTTTTTTATTGCGAAAAAAGTATTTATACGGGAGGAATGTCGAAAAGGTGGCGTGGAAATGTCGTCATTTGTAAAGCTAGAAGTTTTAAACATTATTTTAGGCTGTTTATTGAATATAAACAATGATACAACAATATGACATTCAAACTTTGTAAAAATTTTATCCTTAAGGGGGAAAAAATCAAATACCTATTACACAGACCCAGTCAAGTTATATACAAAAGTAGCTGACCCACGCAACTTCGTCTTCGTTTCACTTCCCCATCTTTTGCAATATTTTTCATTGCATTGGTTGTAGCGTAATGTTATATTGCATAATGCTCCCTTGACAAATGGACTATCCAACACAAAAATATTTTTTCAATTCGACCATTAGTAACTGATACCAGTAGTATACCAGTAGTAACTGAGATTAAACAAACTCTTAAGCTTTATAATCCTAGTATAGACTAAGGCATCTACTGGTATCGTAATTTACGTTTTTTTTATATTTGCCAAACCCATTATACCCTAAAACTAATAACTGGAGTAAATTTCCAGCACTATCTGAAGGATCGGCTAAAACACTTTCATCGCACCTACATGGAATATATCTATTATATGGTCTGGGCGTTCTTATGCCGTATAGTGAAAAATAAAATGAAGATATGTTAATTTACCTCTTGTTAATCGATTTATAATTATATTTAAGAAGGAAATAGTAGAAGAATGGAAAATTATATCGATTTCGTAATTTTTTAACATACGACGATAAAAAATGTTTCTTTGGTTTTTTATAATTAAAATGCTATCCAAACTGCTAGTAGGTTTATCTTTTTTAGCAGTGTAAGAGCATAATAAGTACGAGTCGGCTTATCTTTGTTTTGACTTAATAATTTTTAATGACTTGACTAACAGTATATCAATACTTAGACTTCAATCTATATTTCCGGCTAAGTTTATTCAAATTGATGCAATTTATCCATTGACGTACTTAAAGCAATCCTAATGAATGGTCAAGGGGAGAGACTGTCGTCAACCAAGTGAATAGGCCATGATTGAATAATCAAAGGCGAACGTCATATAGGCGATATTGTATAGATATGTAGATGCAATTCATAGGTACTAATTGTGTGCAAATAAATCAATAAAGCTGTCTGTAATACTAGATGACCCGGGCGGCGCCGTCCAGTCTGCGCAGGTCTAGTGCATCTAGCTATGCTAGTAAATGCGCGTCCTTTTAAACGCGCCAATTTCAAAATTTAGATTTCCTGAGTTTTGGAAATTACAGCATCTTAATTATTATGAATAGGACCAGTCATTTGACATTAGTTATGATGATGGTTATGATGACATGACACATTAGTCCTCTAAATACCAACCCCTTGAGTTGTATTACGGGTGTCACATGATAACGTGATGGTTGTAGTGCTGTTCATATATATTAGGGCATCCAGCTATCTTAGTTAAAGCGCGTCCTTATAACGCGCGAATTTCAAAATTTAGATTTTCTATTGGAAATTACAGAATATTAACCTGTCATTTGACATTAGTTATGATGATGATTATGATGACGTGACACATTAGTCCTCTGAAATACCAAACCCTGAGTTGTAATACGGATGTCGCATGATAACCTGATGTTCGTAGTGTTGTTGATGTATATTAATGTATCCAACTATGCTAGAAATATGCATCCTTTTCAACGCGCGAATTTCCAAATTTAGATTATCTGAGCTTTGGAAATTACAGGATATTAAACTGCTAGTTGACACATTAGTTATGATGATTTCATTTGAATTTGATTATATCGATAATCAAATTCAAATGAAGTCATCATAACTAATGTGTCAACTAGCAGATCATTAGGTTCTGAAATGATAAATGAGTTGTATTACGGGTGTCACATGATAACGTGATGGTTGTAGTGCTGTTCATATATATTAGGGCATCCAACTATAATATAAATACGCGTCCTTTTAGCCTCGCGAATTTAAAAAATAGATTTTCAAAGTTTTGGAAATGACTGAATTTTCATGTATATACGTAGACATATAGAAATATAAAGACTTTCGCTTTGAATGTATTGAAGTGAAAGTGTGACCAAATTTAATGACGACCTCACGTTTTAAAAAATTGTAGATTCAATCTTTGTCTTTCTGTAATGTAATAGTAAATCGACATTCAAGAGGTCGCTATACGTGAATGAAATAATGGAAATACTGTATTATTTTTCATTTTACGGCATAATAACGTCAGACGATATAATATATAGGTATATTCGATCAGACTTTAGCCGATCCTTCAGATAGTGCTGCAAATTTACTCAAGTTATTAGTTTTAGGGTATAATGGGACTGCGTGCATACTTTTATTTCGTACAAAAGTCCCTAAATATGAAAGAAAATAAACATAAATTATGATACCACTAGATATGCCCTAAATTTTGTATAAGACTTGACTAGACCCCGTGAAATAGAAATTCAGGTTTCCAACGTAGACACATGTTGAAGATAAATGTAGATATAATACGTATACACAACTCTTCTTCTTGTACATTTATAACTGTTCAATTATATCCCGTAAATATACAACCACGCGTGTTTCAGAATGTTATTGAAAATTATATATGAACAGAAGTTGTTTCTCTCTAGGCGGCAGTGAAGTATGCATGGGCGTTATGGTGCCCACCGTGGCTGCATCACCCTACGCTTCGCAAATGTACGCCGGAGCTCCAATGATGCCTATGACCTCCAAGCCAGGTAAAAAATAAAATTTATAACAATTTTTCAGTGGCCGGTGGAAAAAACTTTATATTTACATGTGTAACATATAAATCTGTGTCTTAAGAGGTTTGAGACAATAATATATAAACTAATAACTGGAGTTATGAAGTTCTTCCCACCGACTGCGGATTTATAAACCTCCATTTTCTATTTAATGGTCGAAAGTATAAAGTTTATTACGTTCAAATTTAGTGTTGTTACAATTGATTGAATAAATGTTAGACTTCTTATAGTCACTGACTCTCGAACCAGGAGTCCTCTCGGGCGTGACACCAGTTCTACTACTGTTGACCTTATGTGCCATTGGTGTTATGGTTCCGTACCTAATAATTACACATCTGTCTCACTGCTACCCAGTCATGCAAGCAAAGTTAACTGTTTGATGAAGAAAATAACACAGAAACATAGGCAATGAAAACTGACACGTAGTTAAAGTTTGTAGATTTTAGTTATGTGAATACTTACCAATCATATAAAAAAAACGATTTTTCTAATTTATATTATATTAGTTTAACTGTTGGTTGTTTGATGGATGATAATGGAATGGTGGATCCGCCTGTGCCAATGGTACACACCAACAGGACACCAGTGAAGGATTATTTGAGGAGGATAAAGGAGTTTAATACGATAGTTTTCTTACAGAAAAGCATTTCGGTCGACTTGCTGGCGATGTTACTATTCCCGAAATTGTTTCCTTCCCCTTTCTTTCGCTAAAGAACAGGATTAAAAATATGAATAACGAAAACCGGCCTATTAACTTATTACACTTGATGTAATTATAAAACTTTTTTCGTAACATACATACTTTATTGTACAAGCTCCATCATTTAGTGGTCGTAACAAGAATCGGTACATAAATATTTTTAATTTATACCTATTCTTGTTAGGCCACATGATGTGACCCATTAATTACCGCAACTTACGATTTCTTATTATTAATATACCCTACTTTTTGTCTTGTTTTTTTCGTTCAATTCTTATAGTGTCTGAAATACAGGCTTGGTCTAGTTTAGACACTACTACACTGGACATGGTGTTATAGAGTTTTGGCCTGTTTTAGAATCTATTGTACTGAACTTGGAGTTAAATTGTTAAGAACTACTTGCATTAGATACCTATTGGGTTATAAACTTTGATACATTTAGTAACAGGTTTTTTGCACAATAAACTTATTATTATTACTACCTATGACCGCGGTTTCACCCGCATGAAATTTCAATATAAAATATAGCCTATGTGTTATTCTGATGCATAAGCTATGTTACAGTAACGTTTCATCCAAATCCGTTTAGTATTTTTTGCTTGAAAGAGTAGCAAACATCCACATTTACGCGATTATAATATTATTATAAGATTAAGATTTATGCGAATTATTACTTACAAATATATACATGCAATCTCTTAACATAATATTTTATAAAAGTGTCAAATCACTTTTTTGTTAGTTACAAAAAAGTGATTTGACACTTTTATACTTTTATACACGTTTTACACTTTTATACACGTCGTTAAGACTTGGAAGCGTGAATAACCGTTTAATGTAAAATATTATGCTATAGGCACTTATATGGTATGCGTGTAATTTTTACCTTGTTGCAATACATCGAATATGTATTGTTATTATTTTTTGCATAACTCTAAATGCGAGAAATCTGTCGTCAACAAAAGGGGTTGCATGTTCGATTCCTGCATTGTAAATAATGCAAATATGCAATATTTATATGCGAGGGTCACAGCTGCGCTTTACCCGTTATCTGTAATTCAAAATGTGTCAATTTGTTTTTCACGTCTGAAATGGTAAATGAGCTCACCTTCGGAACATCGAAACTGGCCTGTGAACCATGGCCACATCGGTCATTGTATATTTTATGTCCCTCCGATCGTTACCGTTCGATACTTTGTAAGCCTAAGTTCTCCCGCGGGTCTTAAATTGAGAAGGTCAGTTGCCAACAGCGAAATAATGTATATTTTATTAACACTGTAGTACGTGAGTTGGTATTATTCAGTACTAAGGTGGTATTGCATATACATTACTCTGTACCCAATAAGTAGTCGTAATAAAGTTTATAATCAAGTTACTTGAGAGGGGAGAAGAGGCAAGATAGGTACCTCCAATAAAGCGAATACATAATACCTACCCCGACGGTTTAAGCTGTGCGTAGCGGAATAGACAATTTATCAAAACAAAATGTTTCTATATATACACTGATCTAATACAACACAATTTGAATACACAACAAAAAGTAGCATAAATTATTTTTATCTATCACTGCATAACTATTCTAAACTATTCCATTGTAAAGCGATGCTTGCGTAGGATCTGTTGCAATCACTCAACATCTTTATGCGATAACTTTTAGTTTGTCATTCAGATTCTTTTATAATACTACATATATACGTGCTGGCGATGTCCCTATTTTAGGCGAAGATAATTTCTTTGGGTTATAGTCACTTTCTTTCATGTTAAGAAAATTACACTAAAAACAGAATAAAATATATGCATAACCAAAATAGGGTTATTTACCTTGTTATAGATATTTACGCGAATTTTTATATACAATGAATTACTAACAAACTCATTACTCACGTGATGGGGAATGGTAATTGTCGTTATAAAAAAATCGTCAATGTGAGTAGATGATTCGGACACTCCTATTTCTACCTACCGTTAACTTGACTCGCAAGAAATAGTGTAATTTGCTTAACTATTTCTTAGGATTGAGATGTAACACTTTTGTATAATTTTTACTCCTATCTTTAACCTTTTAAACAGAAAATTTGCTTGCGAGTCAAGTTAAAGGTAGGTAGAAATAGGAGTGTCCGAATCATCTACTCACATTGACGATTTTTTTATAACGACAACGTACTTGGTTAGCGTAAAATAACAGCTGTGCGTTCTCCTTAAAAGCGGGTTTCACATGGCGAATAGACTAGTGACAATTTATACTAGAATCTATAATACATAATTACTTAACTTTTACTGTTTCTTAAATATGCCAAGCTTACTTGTTGCTGCCCGCGATATCGTCCATTTTACAATGATTGATAGCCATAAAAAACCTTGATTGAACTAATTTAGTTTCGTCATGGTATTTAATATATATTTAATTTAACTAATAATATTTTGAATGTAAAGATCGGCAAGTATAATATACAATTAAAAATAAAAGCATATAAACAATTTATTTATTCCACTAATAACTAGAAATCAAATATAATCAGAATTTTATTAAAAAAATCCTTCCCTATGTTTAGGTACTTGTTATTTTTCTCTGTAAAAATGCGACTGTAATCGATAGTCAAAACCGCTTTTGCCGTTACGTTTAAAGCAAAGCACAAAATGCTGCTGGCTTGCAGTTCGTCGGAAATTTAAAATGAAGCAGATTACTCAGCCCTAAGCAGTCTCGTTATTTACTAATATACTTTCGCTTACGACGAATTTATTCTATGTTGGATATTTCTATTATATCTTAGATTACATTAATATAATAATAAATCAACCCCTAAACTAAGAAGAAATGTACTATGCGTAAATAACTTAGAAATACTTAAAGATATTTTCTTATAATACACTACCATAGCGATACGAATGATCATACTAATGAATACAAATAGATGTAGCGTGAGATAATTAACCAGCCTCTATCGAAATTAAATCTATAACCCGCTGACCATCAAGGCAATTAAAATGTTATTAAATAGTACTTGTGTATCGCTTGAAATATTGTACTATATACACGCAGCTGAGACAAAATGCATAAATTCTGTTTAATGAAGGTTAATGATGTGTAATGTCGTGCTCTTACAAAAGAATATTTTATGCGCAATTGCCAATTTGCAACTGTGTTATTGTTTGTATCTATTTATAATTTCTGTCATGTAAATTGAATGTACATGACATTTACGACTCTATTTAATACAAACGAATTAATTTGAAATGATATTTGTCATTGACATCGCTTGTTAATTTTTTTTATAGTCTCCCCTTGCCCTTTATGAGTGGATCATGGGTGTCACCAAACATTTTTCATTGATAGACCATTCACTGTTTTACCCCTCGATGTTTATATATTTAGACCTTGAAACTAACATCTTGAAATCTCTTTAGAAATCGAACGTAATTTTATGTTTGTACAAGATTGGTATTTGCCTTAGCAGTCTTTAAACCTTTTAGGGAACTTTCAAAACACATTAATGTACATAGTCGTAGGTATAGACTTAAATATTTTTTTTTGTTCTGTAATTTGTATAATAATAATAATAAGCACACATCATCATCATCTTGTGTATTCATTACTTTGAACGAGGTACAACTGAGTTTGTGAGATGAGCAAGTATTCATCATATTTGAATTTGCAATTCGGATCCTGTAGAATGATAAAAAAAACATTTTACATTAAAAGAATACTACTATTATTGTTCAAAAAGACACCCTAATAAATAAAGATTGTCTTAGAGTACTCCGAATCTGCTTGACCGAATTTTATGAAATTTCGGAGTATCTTTAGTAGGTCTAAAACTAGTTAGTTGTATTTTTATACCCATCGATACTAACGGCCCTATCGAAAAATAATTTATAATGGCAAACCAAGGTTTGCCCAGTAAGCTAGTATTTATTTATAGTTTGTTAGCAAAAGTTATAAGATTTCTCGGCCTTTCGTTCTTTTCTGAATAAAATCTATAAATGACGTTAGTTGTTAAGTTATCCAGTTTATAGGTATCATTTCGGAAGTATTTAAGTTTCTGAGTACTAGTACTTTTAAGTACATCCGAAACGATACCTATCAAACTTGTTCAGTTTAATCACATTATCTCTATATTTCGAAATATAGTTAAAACAGTATAAAATTAATATTCTTTTTACAGTGTTTATAAACATATTTCAATATATCATTGTACTGATAATAGAATGAACTCTGGTTTATTTATTTTTCATCATCTGCTTCTCCCTTATCTTATTCATTTGAGGACGGCGTAATATGTTTTTCTCTTTTAATCATGCCTGTTCGAAGTTATCTCGTGTTCACTTCTTTTCTTGCCATAACGTCTTTCACACCCATCCATTTCTTTTTCGCTTTTCCTCTGCCTTTCTATTTATCCACGTTTATATACAACTCTTTCTTTAAAATACACTCTTCATTCGTACGCATTATTTGACAATACCAAGACAGATTTACTTGTTACAGTAACGTTTTACGAAAGTAGACCTAGTGCATTGTTCTGTATGGCCTATATCTCTACAACTGTGCTTTGTGAGCTGTATGTCGGTTGAAGAGTGAGATACGATAGTAAAATAGTGTACCTAGGTATGCACTTCAGTGCACCGGTATAGCATCGGCATTGTGCGGGGTCCCACTCGCCTCAACTGATGTCCATAGTGCTGTTCCTGTATATATGTGATAGTTGACACTTAGCAGGTCGGACGCTAGCTAGTTTTCCATTCCACTTAAATTAAAAATGTGTTTAAATAACATTTCACTAGTGAGTTAATGTTATTCTTGTGTTCATTTGTTCATCCAGGTCTTGCTGCGTCATTCTATTTGCCCGAGACCATAAGAGCGGAGATTTATGAAAGGAATGAAGAAATGTTTCTTCAAGTTGATCCCCATGTATATCCAGGTGGGTTGCTTTTACATTATATTTTACGTGTTAAGCCGATAATATTAATTTTAAAGATCATTCAGATGCATTTCAATTTGCAGTTTATATGTAAGTGAACTCGATAACGGTCGGGGATTGATCGCTAATAAGGAAGTTCTTAACACTTCAAGTGGTGGTTATCAGACCACCCCACTCAATATTTCTGGTCTCACGCATAGCAATGATATCTTGATTTGATTGAGATTGACAGTTTATAAGTCTTAATAAAAGTTGCTTTACTATTGTCTCCGATTTGCTTTCAGTCAGTTCAATTTAAATATTAGTACATTATACGTATAATTTTATACCTCGTATACAGATATATATATATTTAGATACATCTGTAGTCTTCGTATTACATCTAGAATATATTTAGACTTATTTATGGAGTCACTTGGTTAGCATTATATTCTATGTGTTCCCTAATGGCCAAAAATATTAATATTAATTTTGTGTAATAATAAGTACTGTTTTGCCAATATTTTCCAAAAAAACCAATTTGTTCGATGGTAGTAAGAAAAATAAATAGTTTTTCAGGATATTGTTGGTTTGTCTGTGCATTCGTACGTGCTTATTTCAGAACAGCAGTTGAACCGTTTTGTATTTTCAGTTATATATTTTAGTTAATTTCTCATTGTTGTTATTTTTATATAATTTGCAAGTTCAAAGATATCGCTTTTTCGTGCTCCCTATATAGATTTGCCTGAGAACATAGAGATGTATTCGCATCTGATACCGCTGGAGACTCCAGTGCCCCACTCTATGTCCACTTCGTTCCGTGGCACCCACCGACACAGTGGGGAAATGTACGCATTGAGGCGACTCCACTCTCATTCGTCAGTCATCTCCAAGCGTCTTGAGATGTGGAAGCAGATCGACCACCCCAACATTGTGAGGCTTCATGACTACTTCCCCACGAAGGTGTTTGGTGATCACTGTGAGTAAACATTGTTTTAACAACCCATTAACAACTTTATACCTTTTTATTTTATACCATTTTATTGTATTGAAGACCAATATCTTCAATATGTCAGACAGTTCCTAAACCATACAGTCTCTTCTTGATACTTTCGTAAGTAAATTTCAGTGCAAAATAACTGTTTTGGGTGTATATATGGACAGTCATCCTATGAGGATTTTCCTTAAGAGAAATTTATTAGCATTGCCACTAGCTAGTCAAATAGTTCAATATAGTTTTCTTTTAGTATAAAACGACTATATTCTTAAACTTATTGTGATATAAATTATTAATAAATTGGGTAATAAAATAATTACGAATAAAATTTGGTGATGACTTAGTCTTCTGTTGTCACATATATAAATATTTGGATTTGAAGATTATGAAGTTTATGGGTTTTTTTTATTTACGCAGCAATGATGTTTGTGTACGATTACCATCCGGGGTGCTCAACGCTGATGCAAAAGTACCTAGCAAACGGCGGCGCTAACTCAGTGGGCGATGCTAATAGTGCTTTTCACGATCCATTCTCCTCAGACCCAGATGCCCCCAGGCCGTATACGCACCAGGTGATGATCTTTTTTTTTTAATTCTTCTAGAAAATATCTTGAATGCTTCAGGTATCAATTCTTGGTCCCGTAATCTTTATTAAAAGATATTGTTTGCAATTATTGTTTGTAGCATCAAAAAAATAAAGTGGATAGTATTAATAAACTTGTTGAAATTATTATTTATTGATGATTATTAAACATCCTTCAAATAGTGGCCTAGTTAGATATTTTTTATTTCTCACGCATGTTAAAACATTTATTTCCATTTCTACCATCCAGTTTGCCCAGCTACTGCAGTTGAGAAAAAATGTATATTGTATTTTTATATAACAAATATCCATCTGGAATATATACAAATTTAAATATGAATAGGAAACGTTGAATAAATATTCATTCGATTGTTATAGAAAAACGCAATGCTACGCGCTGTAGCTTGCGGTGCTCTGTTACCTGAAGCTGTGCTTTGGAGCCTCCTGGTGCAGTTGACTGCAGCTCTCCGAGCTATACATACAGCTGGACTGGCTTGCAGGTTTGCAAATAAAGTGTAACATATTAATTACGCTTCAACATATATGATTGCTTCACGAACATACCTGAGGGCAAGGACCGGCTCCCTTCCAGCGCTGGCCCACGTAACAGCAACAGACCTGCCAATAAATTGTGTATACTAGACAAGGAATTCAATTGTCTGTTTTCTGATCTCGTGATCTCTTTCAATATGAAAATCACAATGAACAACTAACACGAGATATGTTTGTCATGAAGTGATAGTTCAGTGATTCATATGCGTTTACTGAGAAATGCGTTCATTTAAAGGTATAGAATATTCTTCTAGTATCTTATATTAATAAAACATATAATTTTATTAATAAATATGTTTGAAGTTAGTGTAACAGTACTAATGATGCGAGTCGGCGATCATCAAGATTTAGGAATTTATTTTATTGTAGATTGTATGTACAAATGTTATACAGAATATTGTGGGCTTATTTCTTCCAGATTATATCGATTTAAAGTAAGTATTAATTGTTGTATTTTTAGCTTTAGTATAACAGAGATTTATTTTATATCACATACAAGGACTTCGGCTCCACTTTAGTGTTTCTACCTGTAAATTAAATGAAATTAATTTATTAGTAATATACTTGTACTTGTACATATTGGAAAGAACATATAATTTCTATTAAAACGCAAATAAATAATTATTTAAAATGTATTACAGTGATACAACCCCAGTAATTACAAATACGTGATTTTTATATTCAAATACTCATTAAAATATCAATGGTACAAACCAATACTTTTTTATTTCTAGAAAAAAATCGGTACTAAGTCGAAATATAGTCATAGGTCGAAAGGCTAAGGATTGTTGCATAAAATCTTAACACGAAATTGATGTGGCCTTTGCATAAATTACTCTGAACTCTTCTGATAACTGAATTTAAAAGGTCTGCCTATCTGTATTATTTTGATTAATGTGGTAAATTATATATTTGCTAACCAATGTTGTATACCGGCAGATCCCTGGATCCCTCCAAGGTAGTGATGAACGGGTGTCGTATAAGAATTTCTTGGTGCGGTGTGATCGACGCCATTCACCCAAATGCTAATGACGTTGTTCAGGTATACCACATTCATTATCACTTCACATCTTCTACAGATAAAGCATAAACTACTGTTTAAAAAAAGTAAAAGTCCGGGACTACTATATCTATTTAAGAATTACTTTTAAATTTCAAATTCGAATTATACCTACGGAAGCGTTGTTATCAATGATGACGTGTACACTTGCGTGTCTAAATGAAGTTGATTAATAATTCTTATTTGAATAAATGATGGAATGCAATTATTGTATTGCTAACGAGTACATATTCCGTGCCCATATATTCTATTAAAAGGTATTCAATGACATTAAACTGCGTCCAGTAATTTTTAGATGAGAAAGTATGGAACTTTGCAACCACCTATGTGTTGTGTATGTATCTGTCCACCCAGTCGTCTGTCCTCACAAACTTTGAAGGCAAGTAGCAATCGCTCACCACTAATGTTTCACATCAGGCTCAACAGGAAGATCTGACGGCGTTGGGTCGGCTGGCGTTGGCGCTCGCCTGCCGTAGCATGCACTGTGACAACTTGTCAGCTTGCATGGATCTCGTCGCCAGAACATACTCCGCGGATCTTAAGAACCTGATACTGTATGATGAGAATAATATTTATATTTATATACATATAATACCGTTATACATATATAACCGTTTTAGAGCTACGTGGCGCAATAGCTAATGCTATTTTTGAAGTTGTCTTCTGATTACTATATACCGTAATAAAAAATACATTGTTTAGCACTAAAACTATTAACCGATTTTTTAAGACGGTATTTTTTTTACTATATTGGTCTGAACTCTTTGAAATTGATATGGTAACTCTTAACCATTTATATATAACTGAAGAAGTTAGGTTTCAAAATATATAAAGATATTAATTCAGAATTCACGATCACATTGTTAAAATTCGCAGTATTCATTCAAGCGAAACAATCCGGGTGTTTTAAAGTAGTCTGCTGACGCTGTGTTTTAGTCGTATAATGTTCTATACTTTATTCAAATATTCTAAACAGTTTCTAAATACATATAATGTAATTTCTAACCATAACTTTCGAAACACAGCTATAAATACAGTGCAATATATAACTGTTCTTGTTTGCCTTTAAAAAGAAAAGTACAATGCAATTTATAAGAATGATGACTTAGCTCCGTAGACACTTTTGAATGGTAGGTCACGAGATTCTCACCTATAGATAAGGCAACGGAAATATTAAAAGATACAAGGAAATAACTAAACAAGGGTATTATGGTCGATGAAGGCATGAAGTTTTCATTCTTAGTTGAATTTTATTACAGTGGCTATACCGGGCACACCAGCACCACCCTTTATTTATATATTTATTTATACATATATAATTTATGTTAGTGTTACTAGCAATATTTTCGGTATTTTTTACAACTTGTATAAAAGTAATCTAAGGGATTTAGAATATGTTACAATTTTATGAGCTTCTTCTTTTTCCAAATGTGTTTTTCATTCTCAGTAACAGAGGTAATGCAATGTACCATTTGTATAAGTTTCACACACATTCAGGTTTCACTGTATATGCAAAAATTATACCATATGTATTTTTCAAGAATGGCTACACTGTGATATTACCATATAATTTAAATAAATTCTCCAATTCAGAACTCACCTCTCATCTTGTTACATATGTATGGTTAATATTTTTTGTTTTGTTGTCAAAGTATATTTATTACCTCATGTTTTATGCCCAAGACAAGTTTAGCCTACTTTTATTCTTCTTTATTTATTATAACTGAACTGAACTGATGAAGAAGTTTAGGATTTCATATTAAAACATGTAGTTGAATATCTCTTCTGTGTTATTAAATATATTAAGGAAATAGATGGTTCATACCACGTTTTATTCATATTATTGATTTCTCTATATTTCGATAGTATTGTAGCAATGATCCCGTCAAATACTTAAAGATATATATCGACTCTTGTAGGTATTTGTTGTCGACATCCGCCACCCGTCGCTCCGTCACAGATCTCATGCCCATGATCGGAGCTCGATTCTACACTCAGGTATTTTTCATGCTAAATATATATATTTGATATATATTTTGTTTTCAGAATTCCATAAACAAATGCCTTGAAATCATTATGATATGACTGCTGTTGACTAGCTTACAGCAGCATTATTACCTATATTATATATAAGTAATAAAATTTAGATTTTTTTAAATTATGTCGTGTTGACTAGGATAAGTTAGTGAGGATCAGTGCCATTAAATATTTATCTATATATACAACATGGAAATATGTATAAGTCGTGGCCTTTGCTATATAAAAATAACTAAATGTAAAAATCCATAACATAATAAGCATTTTGTTATATTTATTTTTTATTCATATATATATATTTCACAAATATCCTATAGGTGATAAGTAGTAATCATACTATTACGTTAGGTGGAGGCGCTGGAACGTCGAGCGGATGCTTTCGAGGAGCAACTGGCCCTCGAGATTGACAACGGAAGGCTGCTTCGTATCCTCATTAAATTGGGGGTTATTAACGAGCGTCCAGAGTGAGTTCAAGGACAGGGTGGTGTGCGAAATAAATATTATAATCTGCCGGAAGACGACTGTTAAGGAAGTAATAGGAACTTGTAACTCCATTGCTGGCAATAGTCCCAGCCACATGACTAGTGGTTATTGATACTGTCTTTCCGTTTTTTTAATGAATGATAATTTAAACCCGTCTGCGTTGACGATTTATGCTGGCGGGGCACCATTGGAGAATAATAAGATGATAAGATGAGAATAAGGTCCAGGTAAAGTAGCCCAGCGTGGCAAATTCACCAGGAATTTCTCAATATGGTTTCCAGGGTAAACGGCGTGGAGGCCAACCTGACATATTGCTAGCAATGGGTTCATTAATCCTCGTTAATAACAATTCCATTCTCACTTGTTTATTAAGTTAGTTAGCCAGATGTATCCACTTAGATTTTCAAAGGAGACCTCGTGGAATTTTACTTGACACATCGATAGCAATGTGACCAACTTTCTCCAATAAGGGGGAGAGATATACTTAACAGGATTCTAGTTCTTCCCCTGGAAACCATTACTGAATGAATTTGCCATAGTGAACTAACTGACTTGATTTCATTTCCATCCTATCAAATACGTTAGTTCATCCTATAGTGCCTCATCTATATATAACATTTGCTCCGGCGATAACAACATTCCATTATTTTTCATAAAAACAGCTGTTTACATTATAGATTGAACATGGACGCGTCCTGGTCGGAGACAGGTGACCGCTACATGCTGAAGCTGTTCCGGGATTACCTGTTCCACGCTGTGACTGAGGAAGGTCGCCCATGGGTTGATCAGGCCCATGTGGCATACTGCCTTAACCAACTCGACGGGGGTTCCCTCAATAGGGTAAGTATACTCGCATAATACAAACATTTGTATTTGTATTGGTATAGATGCTTGTACATATTGATGTATTTATTTGGGATAACGACTAATAATCTAATATTATTTGCCACTATTTTACAATTTAGAAATGTAGACTCTCTTAGGTATATTAATTATATTAATCCATGATATAATTTGAAATATGTAGCACTAAACATAAAAAAATAATTGTACTTTTATTACAAATTCTGTTTAGTACTGCAAGCCGTCAATCAGCTTGCTTTCTGTGTTTTGGGTAGATGAATGAGTGATGAGTGATATCACGGGTGTCACATGGTAACGTGAAATTCATGGGTTAGTTTAGCAGACGGCTAGCGGAGGACCAAAAGCGTGTTTGGCATTCCAAATCTCAAAAAAATATATAACTAGGTAGCACTATGTGAAGTGTAAAATAACCCCATTTAAATGTACGTGTGTTGTAATGCACTTAAGTTACACGCACTTCCCCCTGGGAACCATTGTGGTAAATTGCCATTTGCCAACGTGGACTAACTAACCTAACATCATGCTCATTTTATGATCCTCCAACGTGCCCCGCCAGCGTATACCTTTAGTGCAGGACCCTCCTGCTCCTCCTCCATTATTCCTTTATTAACCATAAGAAAATACATTGGCAAAGTGTAATGTTTGTTATCACAGGTGGAGTTGATGTCTCGCGACGAGCAGAGTGTGCTCGTTGTTTCATACGCAGAGCTGAAGCATTGCCTTGAGCAAGCCTTCGATGAGGTGATGCAAGCTGCTGCGGCCCCTCCACCACCATAACTACCACTTTACTACCCTGCCATGATGCAATAACTATACGCCGATCTTAAATCGATAGATTTACGCCTGTTTCTGAATTGACAATTCTATTAAACGTTTCTTCTACTAGGTAAGTCGTTGGCGGCATATTATGGATGTATTTTTTTTTAGTCGATATGTTCGAGTTGCAGTATTCATAAGACTAAAGGTATGCTCTTAAATCGACATTTGTGAAACTGAAGTTACATGTGAAAGTAAACGTGTTAGGCGTGAAATTACGCAGTCTGATTGGAAATAATACGCCGCCAATAGATACCACAATTATATTTTTTTGTAGCCGACACAAGGCAGTATTAATTGACGACTTGTCTTTCCTGACAGGGTTTGTGTTCGACTATCCTATCCTTCAGGCTGAATCGTACTATTGCAGGTTCATGGCAGAGATATATAATAACCAGTTATACAACTACCAGTAAAATTCTTAAATATGATGAACACATAGCTTATAATCTAATATTTAGCCGATATAATTCATATCATCCTTAATTAAGACAGGCAGAATGCACAAACTTTCAGTAAGAAAATTTCCTGCAACTGACCTATTACATTGAAGTTATTGCATTGCATTGCAAGTATAATCACAATACTTTAGGTATAGTGACCACGCCTTGTGCGAATAGATGTATCGGTTTACGCGTACTTATATTTAATCGCGTTAGTTTTAACTGGATAGTTTACAATGTTTGCCGCTCAGTTTAATGGATATAGGCCTACGTGGCTACTAGAAAATAATCAACATATCTTATTCATTGTACTTAACAATAGGTAGATTCATAAAAACGAAACCTCTAAAGCCATTTTAGCTATTGGCTGTTTTCTTTGCTTCCGCGCTATTATCTTACTTAGAAAGTTACACAACCTTGTTTTGATCAGAATTTTTTCCACAAGGGTCTTGTGTAACTATTTTTCCAGCGTTTAAGAACACCAATGGTTAAAATCGGTTTGAAGGATGTTTTAGTTCTTATGAATTAAGTTTTAATAATAGTTCTACATAAGCATGTTTACATAATTATATTCCATACAGTATATTCCATACATTATTAGGTAATAGTTGTCGTAAATATCAAGTTTCGGACCTTGTTTTAAAATATTAATTCCTTAGTAAAGTTAAACGAGAGTCTAGTCTTATCGCAACAGTATTTTTATTTGCATGTATTGTCCATTCAGAAAAAGGTCACTATGACAGCAATAATGTTGCCTCATTATTAATGTAGCTGGTTGCCCGTATTATCGGACGCCATTTTGACTGATATTTCACATTATACTTTCGACGTTCCCTAAATGAAATGAAATTTACATATTTGTCATAAAAGTGGTACATGTATAAGATGATAATCTTACGAAGTTATCCCGTTTTCACTTTTAGTCCTAACAGTGATGCAAATATATAAGTTTTGTATTATCGTAGCGTTTACATATAACTTAATAAAATTGTTACATATTTCATAATTATTATTAAAAAATAATAATAAAAATTGGCAATAACTATTGTTGGCAACCCATTGTAATTTTTGTCTATCGAATTTAAGATCGGACGAGTCCAATTTTCACTGCAAATTATATACATATCTTGATATAAAAATCGTAAAAGACCCCGTATTTTCTAAAGTCGACCTTTTCTTCAAGTTTTCTTGAACAATTCAGCAACATATTGACACTTATAATGTTTCATTGCATTGTTTAAAATGTCCAAATGCCTATTTTCTCTAAGAGCTGAATTATTTTTGTTTTAGTATTTAATATATGATTTGCAGTTAAAACTGGACTTTCTATGTAAGGTTAATTTGGACTGCGCATTTTTTGCGCCAAATTTATTCAGTTACATATAAAATACTTTTACGCGCTTTGGATAAGTTTCATTTATGTTGAAAAAATCATGCGATGAAGTTTCGCAGTGTTGGTAGATTCATAATATCAGAAAGCACCGCCTTTATTTATACTGTGTACGGCATTGAAAGGACAGCATTGTCAAATTACAGGTAAAAATTTGTTAATTAAAGCACTCAGCAGAGTGTTTTATTAATACACTTTATTACACTAAGTTATTGTTTAAATTCAACACAAACTTAATCTATAATTATTCGAACATTCCAAATCTCGACATGGAAAGCGTTTAGCGATCTATGTTTAATATCATCCTCCAAACTTATTTTATTTAGTATGTTTTAAATGCGATTCAGTTCCATCAATCGCGCCTAGAATGCTCGTCCTGTCAATGTCATTAGCGTATCGTACTTTAATGCGTGAAGCTCTCAAATTTTAGTTGCGGCTTCAATTCTATTTTGAAGCCGTGGTGTTCTCATGTAATCATCCATTAATAATAATCTACTTGTTTTATCCGCACAAAGTGTGCAGTATTCGTGATTCGAAATCGCAGAATTATTTATTTAGTGGGTCCGTTGATTAAGTCTGCCCCGTAAGTGGTGAATATGGGGTGGCATCAGGCGCAGGCTAAGGCACGTGGGACACACGATCCTTTTATGCATTTGATACGGATTTCCATCGCGGCGTTTATACGACTCGCGATTGATTGTTGTTTGTATGTATGGGTTTTGAAGCGTTCGGGAACAGAGTCAAACTTCTGAAAAGTGATGAAACCGCTAATGCTAAAACTAAAAGGATCGCGTGCGCTACATCCTAATGCCGCTCGAGCTTGTAAAGAATTTACTGAGACTCACCGAGTCCCATTATTAATAAGAGTGAGTTAACATTTCGTGTAAGAAGCAACGAACTGAATTGTAACGCGATCTCATTGTATGGAACGGCAACCGTGTCCGTAGAACGCACTGTACACGTTCATGCCCGTTACAATGGTTCAATATTTTTGTATTGTAGGTTGTTTGTGACTCGAGAAATTATAACGAACCTGTGTATCGCCCACTTAAAGCTTTAAGTGTCCAATTATAGTTTTGTATAGCGCCTTATCAATGTACTGTAACGAACAGCCGCCTGAAAAAACGCCACAAACATTCCAAACTAACAGCATGTGTAGCGATAAAACGACTGTTATTCAGCAATTGCTGTGATGTAATGCGTAGCACCAGCGCACGCTGGAGCCTAGGACGTGTGAAGCTAAGGCCACACCCCAAGTTGAAAGCGAATGAGACTCCTTTCAACGCTCGACCTCTTACAAAGGTGCGAGGTACAACTGCATCGGCTTAAAGATGTACGGATGCAATCGAAAGGAAGCATTCGATATGTGTCGACTGTGCTCATAGTCGTCGCCCGGTTTCAACATGGGGCTGTTCGCTTTGTGTGAAATAAAATCACGTCGCGTAGATCTGAATTTGTATTGAAAGGACGCGAGTTAGCCACGGACATTCGCGATAATTCGATAATAATATGGCGGCAATAAGTTAATGTTACAACGACTGCGGTCGATACGCGCCGGATTTTTTTTTAGTTTTAAGCCCCTAATCAGGTGATTTATTGTTTAATTTTCTTGCCAACAATTATCGTGCATTGTTGGCACGCTGCGTCGGATGCAATTGTGTTGATTCGCACATTATATTGTTTTTTTTTTTTTCCTCAGATAAAATAGTACGTGATTTAAAGGTGCCTAATCACATCAGTGCAATGAAACTATTGTACGAAATAGTCTATTAATTCTGCAATATTGTCGCATGACATGAAATAATATAATTATATATATATTTTCATATTATGCAGATTTATTTTCAAATAATATTAGTACTATTATTTATAGCGCCATAGATTTATTTACTTTTTCTATGTACCAGTTTTATTGACCACGTACTATTCGTCTATGGAATTGAGTTGCCCCTATTTACCGAGGTACTCTTATGAGTTACTTGATTAAAATACTTTATTTAGTATAACATTTATTCTTATATTTATTTTTAAATAGCTTTAAGTGTGAGCATGTTGCAAATTCCGATCTATGTCGCCCTGACGGTTTACTGAACTTGAAAAGGAAATATTTTGAGACAATTGTAAGTGTATATTTTTTTTTAATAAATACATACTAAATTTATCGTAGTTTGTTTTTACATTTAAGACCTACTTTAAATTATATTCCTAACTAGCTATACCCTTTCCCTTGGTATTGTTCATAATAACCTTTTTTTTTAATTGGATTGGTATCAAACATTGATTTTAAGGCAAGTTTGCTATAATAAATCAGTAAATAATAGATATCTTATATAGATATGCATATACAAAAGCACATACATATAGAAAAGATCAGTAACTTAATATTTATATCAGCTGTATAGGTAAAACCTGTACAAATTATTTATTGTTTAAAAATTTTCGCGTCTTCTTTTATTATTTTTTTTATCTCTACGATTACACTTTTCCATTACAAATACAAAAATGATACAAGATAATATCGGAAATATTATGGAATGAGATTTAGCATTATATAGCACAAACAAATAGTGATTGCCGGGTATGTACACCAGACAGAAGTTAGGTGCAGACCTCCATATTATACTTCATTCCCCACTAGATGTAGTTAGTTCCTTATATACTATGAAAAATCAATAACGACGCAGTCAATGTTTATTTAGTCTGCAGTCTGTATGGTAGGTAATTATCTATATTTACACCCCTGCTACTCTATCTATAGTCAACACAAAATAACAATATACCAGACAAGTGACCTGCGCAGAAAGTGTTTGTAAAATACCATATCCATATTTATAAAATACCACACATGGATCATTCTTGATGGATTAGTTCAATATTTGTTGCACATGATATTAAAATTGAAAAGAAATCAATTCTATTTTCATTTATGCCTGACACAGACGGTTTCAAGCAACATATATGTAACCAATCATCTCCCTTAGTCAGTGTATTATTTTGCATTTTAATAACCTGTTCAGTCCTAAAGAAAGCACATACGGATATAGAGTGGAAGGGGATTTTTAGTAATGTGGACTAATAATTCCATTGCTAATAATGTACCATGTCAGGTTGACCTCCACGCGGTTTCTCTTGGGAATCATCGTAGGAAATTCCTGGTGAATTTACAACAAAATTAAAAATATGACCCAAATCCAGAATCTATCCCACAGCAATTAAAAAAAATAGTTACACATCCAATTTTAAGTGTATGTAGGTAGCAGAGCAAAGTATGACTTATTATGGCTAGACGTTGTGATTATTTACTCATTGGCTTTGCCATAAGTCATCGCTCTTGTAGCTACAGATTAATGATTACTTGCAAATAATACGAATGACAGCTATAGGTAATAGACAAGATCCAGAATGGCGTGACAGTAGTGACTTCATTGCTAGCTGTCATATGTGACATTTTGGAGTAACGTAAACGAAAACCAATTTATCAGTTTTATTTGATTTCTCCGCTCTCATTTGGTTTCCAAATGTCAAACAAACAAAACATCAGTCGTAGTGTGAGTGATATCCCACTTTATATACCAATATACTTTATTTATTCAGTAAAAATATATTAGAGTATAACTGTGCCCGCAACTTCATTCCATGTAGTACCTTCGCGGAGTTTCACGACAGTTTTCATACAGCGCCCGACTACAACGGAAGTACAATGAGTTCGGTCTGTTATAATGGGGCTAATGACAGACTTATCCATGAGGCTGATCAATTGATATCCTACATAGAACGAGGTTCCACGGTGCTCAAGTTTTATCCTAGAAAAAGACCAGAACGGAAGTCACTGCTAGTGAGGCGAGAAACACATCAAGTGATATGGTTCCGGACTGGAGCACCGCAACGACAGGCATACGAAGGAGCTCTGGATATCAGGGATGTGAAAGAAGTTAGGGTCGGGAAATCCTCCAAAGACTTTGAACGATGGCCCGAAGAAACGAAAAGGCTTGAGCAGTCCAAATGTTTCACTATTTACTATGGCACAGAGTTCAAATTGCGATCGGCGTCTTTCGCAGGTAACGTTTAGATTTCGTTTTGATAAACACGTCTAAATTTACCGACACCAAGAAATTGACGCATAAATCTTAATGTGTCGGATTGTGAGGCGAATTTCATTGATATTTTACAGCAATTGTTAGTTTGTTTGCTAATGCTGAGTGGGCTTAACTATCTGTATGGGATTGTTGTATTATAGCCTCAATAACTATTGTAATAAGACCACTTCATAGAGAACAAATATTGAAATGTGTATACATTAGTGTAAATGGATTGTTGTGGTTTACCCACTGTTATATTTGTCAGCATTTAAAATTAACTTAGTTCTTACATTCCAGCAATTGTTAGTTTGTTTGCTAATGCTGAGTGGGCTCAACTATCTGTATGGGATTGTTGTATTATGGCCTCAATAACTATTGTAATAAGACCACTTCATAGAGAACAAATATTGAAATGTGTATACATTAGTATAAATGGATTGTTGTGGTTTACCCACTGTTATATTTGTCAGCATTTAAAATTAACTTGGTTCTTACATTCCAGCTCAAACTGATAAAGAATGTGAGGCATGGGTAAAAGGTGTGAGATTCCTTGTTGAGGAAGCTATAAGCGCTTCTTACCCACTACAGATAGAGAGGTGGCTGAGGAAAGAGTTCTATGCAATTGAAAACTCCCATGAGAAGTATGTTTGCAACAGTAATATGGCTCCTATATTATAATATATTAAAAAATATTCTTTAACCTTCCAGTGAACTTGCAATGTGTTTCCAGATTCTGAATAATGATAAAATTGAAATTCGTGTATATATTTCTTTGTTTATATTATTTATGTTTTCTGCCCTTGGATGCTGGATCTCATGAAGCTTTTTATGAATATGTGATTAATATTTCAGGATAACATTAAAAGAAGTTAAAGCATTTTTACCAAAAATCAATTGCAAAATATCAACAAGTAAACTTCGGGATATATTTCAAGAAGTTGACACTGGGAAACATGGTGAAATTGGGTTTGATGATTTTTCTATATTGTACCACAAATTAATATTTGATGAAAATGTAAGTATATCTATAGATATAGTAGGTTACAGCTTTTATGGGAAGTAATTAATGTACTAATCCTGTAGTACTGTGAAAATTTTCTATTGGTTTGCTGTTTTTGTGTTAGAAATAATTTGTAGAATATTAAATTAATTAATTGTAGAATATTAAACATAGATGTTTAGTAATATAAAGCCACTTAATTAAATTATAAATTTAAAACCTTTTTAATTTTATATATTTTCCTGCCTTTATGTCAAAAAGAAGTAACATGAGTTTTCTTATGGGATAAAAATATTGATAAATCTAAATGTTAATTATAATTGCATTAATTACAAATTTGAAGAGATTATATAGATATATATATGTTTATAAATAATAAAATAAGGAGTCTTGACAAATTACAATCAATAAATGTTATCATATATCATCTTAAGAATATAATTCTTCTTTGAAATTTGTCACATATCATGTCAAGTTACATATATGTATGTTTAGATACATATCTGGTCATTATATTATTGGTTGATATTGTGTATATTGTTTGTTCCACTGCTATAGTATTGGAGAACATTTACATATGAATTTAAAATATATGAGCAAGTCTCTAAAAAATAATAGCAACTAGTGAAATGTAATAACAATGGAAAATAGTTGTGGTGAAAGCCTTTAAATTACAATAGAAATATAATTTAATAAAAATAGAGAATAATTATATAGTAATTCTATGGAAAATTATAAAAGTTAATTTAATTTATTATTATTACTAAAAGGGTGGTAACCATGGTATGGTTTGTTAGTATAATAGTTTTGCCTCTACAGACAGAAGGGTTCAATGGAAAGTAAATAATTAAAAACTACACTTGACCAAATCGGCGGATTGAGTCTTACAAACAAAAGTATTTTTATGTTTCTTATCTAAATCTATTTTCGTCCTATTTTTAGAATGTACACGACATATTCGACAAATACAGTAACTATTGCTCCAATGGTACTACAATAACACTAAAAGAATTCCAAAGGTTTCTGATAGTGGAACAACATGATAGACTGGGGGATGATGAGTTGAGAGCATCACAATTTATCAGGGATTACCTAAGGGATCCACAGAGGGATATATATGAGCCATACTTTACTTTGAATGAAGTGAGTAACCATAGTCTACTGCATTGTCTAATATTTTATAACAAGGTTGATCAACTTTACATATAACGCGCGACACAAAATATCTCAAAAAAAAACATTTAATATTAATATCCATCCATTTTTGTTTTATTGTTATAACAAGAAGTGACCATAGATTAATGTCTGAGTCATCCATTTGGTCTCTATTTTACAATATTTGAGCAACCTTGATGTATAAAATAATATCTTGATTAATTTCATATTTTTTCTCCTATAACAAAAGGTTATCTGTAAGAGTATGACCTGGTGATAAGACTGACTTTTTGGATCTCATCTATGAATCGACACTATTTTTATACTTCTTTCTGATTACATGTAATTTGCAATTAAGATTTAATAAACGAAGTAACTGATTAAGTGTAGAAATTAACAAGGCTAGTGACTGTTAAACTCATATCGCTTAATAATATTTGCAGTTTGTTGAAATGTTATATTCTAAACAAAATACACTATGGGACAGCAAGCATGACAATGTTACTCAGGATATGACTAGACCATTATCTAACTACTGGATCTCATCATCACATAATACGTAAGTAACAAGAAGATTACGATCCTGTCTATTTGCAGTAAATAGAAGTATGTACGTCCATACTTATTATATGTACTGCTAGTATGTAGTCTAACAGTACGTAGAATAAGTATTACTATGTACTATAAGTAGGTAGAACTAGTATGAATAGATATCTAAATGTTAAAGAATAAAATAGTTCTGTTGAAATCTGACCAATTAGCATTCCATTGTTCTGGCACAGAATAAACAGATAAGGGTATCTGTTTATTCTATCTATAATTAACCCTCAAACAATCACGACATTTCGTGTTTTATTTACAGTCACTCACAAAAGGCAAATTAATAATATATGTACCTTTAAGTATGTTGGATATTCATGATATCCAGTGCACACATAGCTAGAAAATTTGCGCTAGTAATCACAGGTTAAATAAAGTAAATTAATCTGTTTTTAGATATTTGACTGGGGACCAGTTTTCCAGTGAATCTTCCTTAGAAGCATATGTTCGATGTTTACGATCTGGTTGTCGATGTATTGAATTGGACTGTTGGGATGGCCCTGATGGCACTCCCTTTATTTACCACGGTCATACACTTACTACCAAAATTAGATTTATGGATGTGCTCCGTACTATAAAAGAACACGCCTTCATAACATCCGATTATCCCTTGATATTGTCCATAGAGGATAACTGCTCTTTACCACAGCAGAGGCGAATGGCGAGCGCTTTTCAGGATGTGTTTGGTGACATGTTGTTAACACAACCTAACGAAAAGAATGAGAATGCACTCCCTTCACCTCATGATTTACGCAGGAAAATTATATTAAAGCACAAAAAGTTACCGGAAGGTGCAGAGGAGAATTCATTTGCAGTCCGCCAAGAAGAAGGTAAAGACCTAGATTTGAGGAATTCTATCAAGAATGGTATACTACTATTGGAGGATCCTGTGGATAAGGAATGGAATCCTCATGCCTTTGTGTTGACTGAAACAAAACTATATTATACTGAAAACTACAGTACTCAACGCGAGACTGATGCAGACAGCGATAGTGAACCAGAAGGCGACGGTAATTTAAGTATACCGCAAGATGAATTGCATTTTGGTGAATGCTGGTTCCATGGTAAATTGGCAGGGAACAGACAAGAAGCGGAGGATCTCCTTAGAGCACATGCCCATCTCGGCGACGGCACTTTTCTTGTCAGGGAGAGTGGTACTTTTGTTGGTGATTATTGTCTTTCATTTTGGAGACAGGGTAAAGGGAATCATTGCCGAATAAAATTAAAACAAGAGAGAGGAGTTACTAAGTATTGCCTTATTGATGCTGTATGCTACGATAGTCTGTACAGTCTGATTACACACTGTAGACAACATCCTCTTCGCAGTCCGGTATGTATTTGTACATTGTTGATTATAAGAAGTTGCGTTATTTTAGTTGAATTTTATTATTCAGTACTTTATCTATATCTTAAGGTTACATACATAATATTTCAGGAGTTTCTAATAACTCTTAAGGAACCAGTACCACAACCAAAAGAGCATGAAGGCAAGAAGTGGTTCCACCCACATTGTACTCGTGCACAGGCTGAGGAATTACTGCGGAAGGCTAATACAGATGGCGCCTTTCTTGTCAGGCCTAGTGAGAAAGAGCAGGGCTCCTTCGCTATTAGTTTTAGGTATTTACATTTAAATTTATTTTGTTTTATCTATATATATAATTGTATATGAATGTAATTTATTGGTAATTAGCTAAGTGCGCGTCTTTGTACACATATATACACATATTTACCAATGGAATAATTTTTAAGGAAAGCATACCACCATACATTATGGACTCTGCACCTAAATCAATTTAGTGTCTATAAAACGCTTTTCTTAAAAAGGTTGTCTTTTCTGCTACCTTGAAGTCCCCAATATACTTTTTTCTCATAGGTTTCATGTACAGTCAAGCAGTAAATCAGTATCGTAATATAAGAACTAACCTAGTACAAAATTAACTTGTAGTTTAAAATATCGCTGTGCGTACTAAACGTGAAATTCCTTGATGAGAATTATATTCCACGGGCAAAATTTTTACCTACTATGCATTTGTGTATTGCAATGTGTATTTCCAAAGCCACTTAATATGTAATAGACAGTAGACCCGCGATTATTTTTAATTCACTGTCAAAAATATATTTAAGGTACCTTTGACCTACATGAGTAAAGACGATATGATATGACTCCCTCTTCAGCGAAACCGCTGAAGCTTGCGTTTATATTAAACTGAAAAATAGCTTCGAAAAGCGAATATCTGATATTAACTATTTTTTTAAATTAATGAGTTTTTTAAATGCGACTTATTGTCATAGTATTGCGCAACCATATTATGTGAGCTAAATATTATTAATCTCAATCTGTTTTTTATCTTATGAATGAAAATGGTGCACCTAATAATGGTTTACGCTGGCGGATATTATTGGAGGATGATAAGATGAGCATGAGGTCAGGTCAGTTAGCCCATCGTGGTATTTTCACCATGAATTTGTCATGATGGTTCCAGAGAAACCACGTGGAGGTCAACCTTACATGGTACATTAAATGCAATATGGTTATTAGTCCACATTACTGACAATCCCCTTACCCGGTAAATAAGCTTATTAGAATTCTAATAATAAGTGGTAAAGTTATACTGCACGTAACACACGTGGACACTACATTATCAGGAAGCCTTTGTATACCCCATATATTGCGATTCCGCATTACTAAGGTGTCATTGTTCCATGTTTTGTAATTTCACTGCCACATCTCAACCTTCAACCGTCATGCATCGTACAAAGCAAGCTGCTTGGTAAAAGAAGTAGGTGAGATAGAAGTGAGCACCTCTCAGTACGCAGACGACTATATATAAAGTTTATTTCGATCATTTAAAAAAAAATACTTCGTCTTGTATCCACGCGAAAAGCCTTAATCTACTATGTACATATTTAAGTTGCGATTTCCTTGATCTAAATCATTTTCGACTGAATAAACCAGGGTCAAATAGTTCTAACTTATATAGTCTGTCTAACAGTGTCAGATAAGATGTATTGTATATGTACATTTGTATGTTGATCCTAGTTATTGTTGAGCGGAAATGGAAATAACTTATTTTGACTGTAGATATCCTTTTAGGTTTTGTAATGTAAATCCAGACTAATGTTACATACGCGAAGATGTGTCTGTCAGTTTGGTACCTATATATAACCAAACCACTGAACAGATCTTAATAAAATTACGCGAAAACTTGTATATTATTTATATAGATTTATGAAGAGAAAAAAGAGAGCAATCTTCTCTTAAATATCAATCAAACGGAAATTAAATTTCGAATTATAATTATTTTAATATCGAATCGAGAGTTGCAACTAATTTTACAGACAAATATTAGGTATTGTCGATTGGGAATACATATATGTTTTCTAATTTAATTAATACCATTCACTCTTACGCTGACAGTGTACAAATTATATAAGAAAATTAGCACATGCGACTTTTAACGCATCTTTCGTTAAGTTGAATATTTAAATATTTTTTCCTATTTGTAACATGTGCTATAACTCTATATTATAAAATAGTCAATTTTCAAATTTTTAACTTATAGTTTTGGCTGAGCGTTGTTAGTCACGTCAAAGTTATCATTTATTCATAGAGGACGTTTTTTGCTAGTACTCACATCTCACATCAGTTGACAAGGAATGGCAGGAAATTCAGTCGGTACATTTATTTTGAAATCAGTCTTTTGACAAAATAAATGGCTTTTTAAATATAATATGTGTATTTTCTTCATTTTGTCGGCTAACAGTTTATCACACCGTCTTACTTCCGAAGGACGCGGGTTCGATTCCTCGCACAGTATAAACATTTGTATTCAAGAGTATTATGTTTTGGATCGATCTGAGTATTATCTCTGTATATTATATAAATAAAAATAAAATATGTATGAATTTCAATTGTCTGGTACCCATAACATATGCTCGCGTAGCTAGATGGCGTTGTGTGAATTGTACAGGGTTATTATAAGTATTTGAATGTAAAAATAAATAGTGTTTAGTGGATGACAATGGAGTGGTGCACCCACCTGCGCTAACGGTTTACGCTGGCGGGGCACCAGTGGAGGATGATAGGATGAACACGAGGTCAGGTCAGTTAGCCCATCGTAACAAATTCATCAGGAATTCATCACGATGGTTTCCAGGGGGAACCGCGTGGAGGTCAACCTGACATGGTACATTGCTAGTAATGGGGTCATGAATCCATATTACTACCAATCACCTTCCGAATTTCTTAACATTATTTATTGGGGGGACCCAATAAATAATGTAAAGCAATTCGCTATTCGGAATTCTTTAAGCAATTGATGCGGAGCTGCAATGAATAATGTGATGCAAATAAAATTAGACGGGTCAGCTAGTATTGTAAAAATTAAACAAGTGAAATAGTGTTTTGTAGGATTTTTTTTGTATTAGGGTTTTGTTAAATATTAATTTAAGAGCAATGATAACTTAATTGTATGCTTTTGAAGTAGGATATAAAGATACTTCGTTATATATTTTTACCGTGTAACGTATGTGTGTGTAACGTGTATGTGTTTTTGTAACGTGACCCATGTACCATATTGAAGATATTTGTATTCGATTGTATTTCAGAACTGAAAGAGAAATAAAGCATTGCAGGATAAAACTAGAAGGTCGGCTGTACACTATTGGTACAGTGAAGTTTGAGAGTCTTGTAGAATTGGTCTCGTACTATGAGAAACATCCCTTATACAGGAAAGTAAAACTGTGGTTCCCAATCAGCGAAGACATAGTCAGGAGAATTATTTCTGTGAGTATTTCCAAATACATATAATTCACGTGTCACAGGTTTCGTGTTTATACTCCTCCGAAACGGCTTGACCGATTTTGATGAAACTTTATATGTGTATTCAGACGGTCTGAGAACAGGTTTATAACAAATTGTTATACCTCTAAGTGATAAGGGTAACAACACCACAAAAATATATATTTCCGCATTTTTTTTTATTATATGGCATTAAAAAATACATACAGCCTTAAATTTTTAGCCTTCTACCACCAACCCCTATTTTGTAATAGCAATATTTATTTATATGGCAAAACAACGTTTGCCGTGACAGACAGTATGTATATATATGTTACAATAAATTTGTCTATTACTATAATAGACGCACGGCCGTCTCTGTCTACGAAGTGTACGATGCATATAGGCGTCAAGGTAGATTGCGCCGGATGATATGCAAAACAACTATTTTTACTATACATCCAACATATTTGTTATAGTTGAGTTACCGATATATATAAATAAATAATGTTCCCAATTAATATACTCAACTATAACTCTCGGAATCTGATCAAACTTTACACTATGAGATTTGTAAATTGAAAAAATATAAATATCGAAACAACGACAAAAATTAAAAGGCTATATAGGTTTAACACACAGGTATTGTCGGTGGTCGTGCGCCTCTGAAAAGCCCTCTCCATTTTCAATTGCTGCTTGCGACTGCACTTGCCTTTTAGTATTTACTAGTCACTTTTGAATACAACCGTCTCGTCACCTGTGTTAAATACTCGAGGATTTGCAATTTACAAGAAATAAGTAGAAATGTATATAAATATATAGGATATACATCTACAACATATTATTGTAATTATATACAAATCGTATATTTCAGGAGCCTGATGATAGTTCTGTATATGGTACACCTGGTTACATGGATCCCACGTCGTTTACATCTAAAGTAAGTATTTATTTAAATATGTACTGGCTTTTCTTTTATGTGTCTTGTCACGCAGAACCAATAACCAATGAAGACATATTCACATTAATTATGTAGAGTGTAGACATCCTCACGAAATTGACTGTTCCTTTTTTAGTGTTTTCTAAGTGATGTTAGTGATGAAGCAGTAAGAATACTATTATGTTGCCACATCTCTTTATACCCAAAATGAAGTAAAAGATGTGACTAAGAGAAAAACGTAGAAATATGTTGTTTAGAGAAAAAACAAGATCAAATAAAATCATATTTGTGCATTTAAATACCAGTATGCTGTGTTTATTGATACTTCATATCGAAATTTAGGTGTTTTAATTTATATTCACTCGAGAGTCAATTGATAAATTGGGACCAATTTATGGATAAACTTTGACTTCCAAAATCTATGTGCATTTATGTTATGTACACATTGTGTACATAGTAATATATATCAGTTATATACGGTAGTATTATAAAGAATAATATTTAAACGTGTGTTAAGTTTATTTGTATAAAGATTATATTTCTATCCTATTTTATTCATATATGATATACATATATCTGATTACAAGCTCTATGTAGTTGTAACGTGAAATTACTTAATGAATTTACGATGCTTGTAAACACTATGTATATATAAATTTTAGGTGACAGTCAAAGCTTTATACGACTATCGTGCACAGCAAGACGACGAGCTGTCATTCTGCAAACACGCTATAATAACCAACGTGGATAAACCTGACAAGGGATGGTGGCGCGGGGACTACGGTGGTAAACGTCACCATTGGTTCCCAGCCAACTATGTACAGGAGATTGACGTGCCACATATGCCTGATATTGCTGTTAGTATATTTTAATTAATAACACTAAGTAAAGTTAATTTTTCCTTTCAAAACTATAAATTTTGAAAGAAGTTTCGTTCTAACAGACTAAGCTAAGTGTTCTGAACGCAAGAGTAAAGAGTTAAATTTTATAGTAAAGAATTTATGATATAGATATGTATATCATATTAATGTAAAACAAGTCTTTATTATACTCTTATTACTAAACTAATTAAATTTATTTTTGTTATAAGTAATAATGAGCCGTTTCGTTTTACAGGGCTGCCTAGAGAACGAGACAGCGGCTTTAGGGTCACTCCAAAAAGGTGTAGTAGATGTATTAGGTGCAGTAGTAGAGCTGGTTGTTGGAGAGGAAAATGGCTCATCCAGGTGGTTGGTGCGCATACAAAGCCCATCAATGTGCGCACCATTCGACATGGCTGCACCCAGTAATGAGGTAGCCCTTGAATGGTTGTCAGCCATCAAGGAGGCCGCCCACAGCGCCAGCGCCCGCTCTCTACAACACCGAAAAATGGAACGCACGTGGAGAATCGCAAAGGAAATGTCTGACCTCATAGTGTACTGTCGCTCAGTCGCGTTCAACCAGGACAGGCTCCGCAACAAGGGCTTCATATTCCACGAAATGTCCTCATTCCCTGAAACGAAAGCCGAAAAACTAATGTGCCAACAAGAGAACTCATTCTTCCTCAAGTACCACACGATACAACTTAGCCGGATTTACCCAAAAGGCCAAAGAATAGACTCATCTAATTACAATCCGGTGCCCTTCTGGAATTCTGGGTCGCAGATGGTTGCTCTGAACTATCAAACTGCAGATAAGCCTATGCAAATAAATATGGGCAAGTTCCGAGAGAATGGTGGTTGTGGATTTATACTGAAACCGGATTTTATGTTCGAAGATGGCTACAATCCCTGCGACAAAAAGAGTATAGAAAAGAAAGTGAGACCGTTGTCTGTGGTGCTGCGTGTGATCGGAGCAAGACATCTCTGTAAGTCTGGTAGAGGTACTGCGAGTCCCTTCGTTGAAGTGGAGATCATCGGTGCAGAATATGACAATGGGACGAAACTGGTGACTAAGACTGTTGGTAAGTATTTCTTTTATAACCATATTCTATGTCCTCCGAGATTATACATATGAGTTGGAAAAATAATTTATATGAATTCCCCAATGCTTTTTGTTTATTGTAATCATATGAAAGACAAAGCCATGATTTATTCATCCACTTATCATTCCCCAGCCTTGGCCACAGAATACTGGCGTCTCAGATATTGCTTTAATTTGAATTTTAATCATTTTGTTGAGCCTACCTGAATTGCTAACAAGCATGACGTGTGTATATAATGATAATAAGGAATAATTAACATATATTACATTTTATGAATGAATCAAGATTGCTGTAAAAAGCACTTATTGAACTGGCGTATTGCAGATAACCATTAATCTATAACTTACGCTCTCTAATGTTTATATTATATAAGAGGTAGACCATAAAAAGTCGTCTGCTTTAATACCGGAGTCTTACCTACTTCTGAGGCCAAGTAGCCTAACCGAAACCCAGCGTACAACAGCTGTGTTGCTTTAATAAAAAATATGACAAGCAAATATCCTAGTCTCCTGGTATGGCAACTGATGTGTGGTACCATGGGCTGCTCATAATATGATATATATGGTGCTGTTCTTGCTGTAGTGCGCGATTTAGCGCACCACCTTAGCCTTGATGGTCGCAGGATGCATAAACTGTTACATGTAACTGGAGGCTCAAGTAGTTTTTCAGTGTGCTAAATATAGATTAGTCTATATTTAGCTTATGTAAGCTAAATATACATAGGTTTATAAGAGTCAGGGGGAGGTCTTTTCCCAGCAGAGAGATATTATATATTACTTCATTACTACTACTACTATGTTAGTCTATAAGGTATTTGTAATATTGGCCTGAATGAAATAAATCAATTTATAACGCGTAAAGAAAACAAAAAATCAATTATAGTATTAATGTGCTGTGTTTGGAATCACTGGTAGAGTTTTATATGAAAAAAATGTTTAATTTCCAGGCGACAACGGCATCAACCCCGTTTGGAACGATATGGTCGAGTTTGAAGTGGCCAACCCACAATTGGCGCTAATACGTTTCCTAGTTCAAGATGAGGACATGTTCGGTGACCCTAATTTCATCGGACAGGCAACATATCCGTTAAAATGTATACGCACCGGTTACCGTAGCGTGCCGCTTACAAACGGTTACTCAGAGGAACTTGAACTGTCCTCATTATTAGTTCATATCGCACTACATTACCATTAGAGTATGTAATGAGTATGTGATTACATGTTATCATTAGTAATATCTATATAATGAACTATATAAATGCAATATCTATGTAATGAACTATTGAATTGCCGCAATCAATATCGTAATAAATTTATAGCTCTCTGTGGTAGGTACTATTATAGTATTGTATATCGTAAATAGATAAGAGGCACGACAGGAGATCCCAGCGGCTTCTCATCATTGCAAAACTGCAATGTTTATGATCAATAAACATATCGTTATCGCAGCTAATTAAACCTGATAAAGTTTGGAAAGTAATTTAAAATTAAATTTTAAATGTTGTTCTCAATACTTATGCAAGTATACCGTAATATTTTTTTAGTAAAATTAAGATTCGAATCCGAGAAATCTCACTAGATTTTGTGAGTCTTAGGTATTGAAAATGACATTACAATATCAATGTTATTAATTATCAGTTATATCAATCATAATGAGGCAGTTTTCGTCAATTCTTGTCAGAAACAGGCAGCTCTGCTCTGTAGTAGTACTGATAGGGAAAACAGAAAAAGTTTGTAATTAAGGAATTTTATTAATTGTTGTTTATACAACTGTTTTCTCGATATATTCATAGAAATTTATTAGGGGTACTAAATATATTAGGGGTTACTGGTTTATATCATAATTACGATTTTATCAATATTTTCTATAGATTTTAGATAGAATATAGAGGCTACTCATTAGTTGTGTTTATACTATAGCATCACTAAAATACATCAATTGCTGTCAGTATGCCGACAAGTGGTCCTACTGCTTTATAAATTTGATATTTTTTCAATATTCCATTTTATTTGTTCATATGATACGCTTTTTGAGGTAACATATTCATTTTATTTTATCAAAATGGGAAGCTTAACAAATCTGAGATATATATTAATGTTATTCATCTTTTAGTATCCCACTATTGTGTTCTTGTATTATATATACGCAAGTGTCCTCAAAAACCCCAAAGTCAATATGCAAAAGCGGGACTTTTGTTGCTTTGGTTAGGGACAGCTGAAAATAGAGACTACAACAGTCTCGTCCAAAACGGGTTAAATGATCAAATGAGTTAATCCTTTTCTGGGATCGGCTACTTTGGCACGTAAACTAGTTTTTGACAGTATTTAATACTTAGTACAAACATTTCTGCAAACTACCTTACTTATACAATTATTTATACTAGCTCTTTAACTATTGAATGGAAAGTTATTTGAGACAAATGCTGCTATTTTTCATGTATGTAGTTTTACCGGCAGCTGTTAATCGACTAGTCGAATGATATATATACACAAATATATATTTACGATACCAGCTAATTTGCTATGACGTAATACATGTCTGAATAGTAATACCCTTCTGTAATTGTACAGAAACATTCATTTCTCTCTTATTAAAATATACGACTAATTTCTGAAAGAAAAGGGAAATGATATGTTCAATATATTACGTTTAGTAACTTTATAGCAAAAAACATTATATCTCACTATTTAGAATAGTTCTGATCGTCTTCTTAATTTTTTATTATACTAATATTAGTATATCGTTGTTTTAAAACTCATTGTTTGAGAATTTTTATTAGACCAAGAGGTCCTTCACATACACATAACAAGTTGTTTTATTGGCGAATGTTGCAAGATATTATTACTAAATTAACCGAATACACTCTTTAAAATATAAACTAAACATCAATGTTGTAGTATCGTTTAGTTTATTCAAGGATAACAATATTTTAATAATGTACTAGTACCTTGAAAGAGTATGAATAGATGTGCAATAAATAAATAAACTTTTACATAATAGAATTCAACTTATAACGTAAATTTAAATGTCAATCGATTGGAATTACCTTCTGCAGTAGACAATATACAAGATATTTAATCAACAATGAATTCACAATTGGGTACCTAAACACTATCTATCTGTTATTATTGTCTGAATTTATATATATGATATATTTTGTATTATTTATAGTAGTGTAGGATGATGATAATTATGTATGGCTAAGATTATTTTGCAATAATCTGTGTTGTTTTATAAACATACAGTTGTTTTTATCTGTTGCATAATAATTGTAATAATAATAGTATAATGATCTGATAGTAACAGTTGAATCGTCAAATTAAATAATCAATGATATATATGTATACATTTATCATTTAGTTACTGATGTAGATCTATAAATGTTGTAGAATAATATTTTGCAAATTATATCTATTTTAGTTTAGGGTTTCTATTACACTGTGTATGCCTATGGTTTTATAAGTAAGCATACAGTTTGTTACCGAAAAGTGATCATACTAGTTATTCGTAAACAATATGGGATGTTGCAAACATTGATGTCAAATGAATGTTACTGTTTGGTGTTGACAATGCTTCAAAGATTACGATCCTTTTGTTGAGTGATTCGATTTTAATTATTTTGATTTAAGATATTTTCGCGCGTATTTATAGTAAAAATGGAGAATAATACATTTTTCCGTAGAATTCGATGCAACTTTAAGAACAATGTAAAAGAATCATCCAAGTCTGACCACTTTGTAGAAAGTTTAACGTAGCAATCCTTCTGTACTGCGCATGTTTGATTGTCTCATCAAAAGTAGGTTTTATAGAAGACTATAGACTATATAGGTGATCTAATCATAAACTTATATTATAGTGTAGCAAGCCCTTAAAATTCTGTTGTAAAGGTAGGGGTTGAAGTCTTCTAATTGAAGTTTTCTGCCTCTATGTGTTATGATGAACATAATATGAAAGCGCTTAATTCATTAACATCACAGGTCAATAAGAATGCTATATAATATCTTTTACAATTATTTTATTCCGAAATCACAAATATTATTTAATTACTTTAGTGTATTCCATATTTTAGTTTAAATACACTAAAGTCTCTATATTTAATATAGATTTATTCAATTACATATATATTTATTGTTAAAATAGTAATTAGTGCCTTGATAGTATTGAAAAAAATACGAAACGCACAATGTATTAGACTGCTGCATTTAGACAATTTGTTACATACTAAATGAAGTTATTGTTCGAAATTTTATAATGCTTAGGTATTAGTATAGGCAAATAATGTATTCAGTAGTTATTGTTTGTGGCTTTGTTTAATTAAAATTTAATAACATTTATACAATGTATATCCAATAGTATATCACAAAATAATCTATATAGAAAATTTATATGCTACCTGTTGTACGCATGAGAGAACGGGACAGCACACCCGCCATTTTGTTTTTCTGACCGGGAAGCTGATTGTATTTCTATTTATGAAAAATAAAGCTAATTTTGCTTTAAAGGTGAAACATAAACAATATTTATTATTCTATTTGACAAATGTTCACATAGTATGTTATTTTAGTATCTTATAATTATATCGTTGTGATCGACCAGTAGTTTATCTGTATTTAAAATTAACAAACATATAAATATACAGTTATGATAGTATGAGTATACACTGCTTTTTGGAAATAAAGACTTTGAGCAAATGTATGATATGTGTCAGTAAGTCATGAATCAATCAACAAACTAAATTTTCTTTTCGTATAATTGTATCTATATATCTGTTCAGTATTTCAACTTTTTAGAATAAACCTTATGGTTTATTCTTATGAATTAATATAATAGTAACATAATGGTTTACTCATAACTTTAATAAATGTCGATCGATATAATTAATGTGTCAAATAAAAAAAAACCTTTTTGTAAAGGCTTTTTTAATAGTTTCGTTAACATTTAATAAATAGACGCACTCGTTTCATAACATTGTTAGTGATAATACTTCATTCAGAGCCTCATTTAATATCAGTATATTAATGCATTTTTTAAAATTTATTAGGAGTAATTATGTATATTAGATTGAAATTGCTTTCATTAATACTTTTGGGGACTAAAGTTTAGTAGTTTGTTCCCTAATGAATATGATGTAGAGGTCTTTTAAAGTGGTTTTAATTGGGCGACTAGAAAATTATTGTATTGGTAAAGTATAGATTACGTTACATCACAATGATTGCTACAATCAGTTGATTATGCTTCTGGCACTGATTGAAATGGCAGTCTTTTACTGTATATTGAATATAAGCAAATTTTTGGCACCTACTTCTCAACATATGAACTATTGGAATCTAGGCAACCTAGGTAAGGTGCTTTTATAACTCTTATTATAAAATGATGATATCTATTTTTTGAATCTATGACATGAATGTATCTATAATCAAATGAATGTATCAATAGGGTATTTGACTAAAATAATAGTTTTGGGAAAACTTTATAGCTTAACAGTAGACATATTTTAAATCAATTTACACTGTGTATCATTATATTATGTATGATTGTTAAAATAATGGTAAAAAATAAACATCGTTTTTGATGACAACGCTCGCGATAGTATGTACTACAATGACGTCACCATATTTTTTATATGACAGTCAAAACTGAATGTATAAAATGAAAAATTATATATATTATTTATATATACTTGATATACAAATAATATGTATAATTTTTCATTGGACAAATTCGATATTTATACAATTTATTACACAATTATTATAGGACAATTTTTATAATATTTCAAATTTTTACGCCGCTGAACTAAAAACGTAAAACTGGACAACGTATACTATCCTAAATGTTATTTTATAAAATATACTTATATGTAATTAAATAGTTAGAAATAATTTTAAAAAGGCTATTATTATTGTAAAATTTTAAACGTTTGCTAAGGTAAATTATGTTGCCAAATTGACAATTTGATGTTTTAAATTATAACTAGTTTAAATATAAGCGGTATGAATTGTCAAATACCCTGCTTTTCTTTTCGTATTAATCTGTATTTATTGTTAGTATCTACCTCTATGTGATCGTCTCTTTTAGCTAATACAACGAAGTATTATTTACCCAGCTCCTGTACTGTCTGATATTGTTAACTTTTCTGTAACCTTGTTTTAAAATAACGAACACGTTTAATTAGTCTATTATTTTATCAACTGAACAATTTAATTCTTTTCATACGAATGCAATCGACCAAATAGAATTTATATGAAATGTG